AACTCATATAAAAAATAATAGGTTTAGGTTTGTCCAGGTGACTCCTAGGATTCGTGTTTGGTCCCATTTAGACGTTGCTTAGCAATGTGACTTCACTTCCTTTGTTTGTTTCTCAGTGTATATAAACCCGAGTCCTGGACTTTTCCCCTTTACAAGGCCTCCCCCTCCTCTCACTCCTTCTCGTTCGGTCCTGCATATAACAAAATTTACCCCAGGCAATATATCCAACAGCTGAAAACGGAGAGGAGAGAAGCTGCCAAAGAGAATTCCAGTGCTGTGAGTCAGAGGCAGAAGAAGCGACAGACAGAACAAGACTTTTTGCCCAACACACACTCCACCAATCACACCAATCTGACATCACAGATTACAGACACTTTCTTCATCTTATTTTAAGGTTTCTGAATAGTGACTATTTTTTTAAAACAGGTCACTCCTGTTCAGTTGAATGTTGTGTGCGATACTTTTGTTTTTTCAGTCGCGCCGTTTTACTGTTGTGTGTTTGAGTCTAGCCTGTTTTCCACAGACATGGAAAAATCTTTGCTGGATTGTCCTGAAGTGCCGAATACGCCAACAATGCTCTCTCTCGCTCTCGAACACACTAAATGATTTAGATGATATAGAGCAGAAAATATTAAAAACAGCTGGGAAAGACAACCATATTTGTACTCTGTAAAAAAAACAAAACAAAAAAAACAAGATTTGTCATCATAACGTTTTTTTCTTCTGTCAAATCAACTTAGATAGTTAATGTGGTTCAGTTAACATAATATTTTGAGTTTCTGATTATTAAATCAATCTCCTTCATTGTATTAACTCAATTTTTCAATTTCAATGAACTTAAGGTTACTTAATTTTTTAAGTTAAACCAACAATGATTTTTTACAGTGTACTCACTTTCATTTTTTCCCTTGATCAGGGTTATTATAGTAAACTTAAACTAAAACCATAACAAAATGTGTTACTTGAAAAAAATAAATGCATCAATTTAATTTAATTTTCCGTATTGTGTGTTTTTACAGGTGGTTCACCTTCATTTTGAATTACGCATTGCATTGTGTTGTGTTTTAGGGTTAATGGAAATGTCGTAAAATTATTATTTTCACGTTGATGGAATATAAAAATTTGTATCGCAAAGATAATAAAATAACATTGCCTTTTATGCATGTAGAATTAATCAGATCCATACAGCTTCAGTCAGTCCACAATGTTCAAACTAATATTTATTGGAACTTTTATGTTATGTGATGACACATTATAGCACAGTTCATAAACTTTTGTTAATTAATGTGGCAGTTTTTAGTGTTGGTTTTTTTCTCTCTCTTCAGCTAAAAACACGTTTCCTGCCTTCCCCCTCTCTCTCTCTCTCTCTCTCTCTCTCTCTCTCTCTCTCCTCAGAGATCTCTCTTTGTGTTTCTGAACAGCCCACTCAGATTAGAAACAGCTGGATCTTCTGGCCTGCACACAGCAGCACAGCTCAGATGGGCGTTAAGCCCCGCCCATGGGAGGAGCTTATACTGCAGGGGCGGAGACTCAAGCACCAGTGAGTTCATCATCCATCATTAGCCAAATACTAGCACAATTGTGAACAGCTGTATCATTTGAGCTTCAGCTACTCGTGCATGGTCTCTCTTTTGCAAGAAATATTAACATTTAGACATCTTAGTCAAGCCTGCATTTGAAATCAGTGAGAAAATCTTTTTTATTTTTTATGGAACAGTTCATTGAACCTTTAGACAAATTATATAGAAACTTTTTGGTAAAACTTTACTTGAAGGGGCGTGCATAAGACTCCTTCATAATCATGACATTACATATGTCATGAATATGAAGGAAGTTTTTTTTAAGTGTCATTCACTCAGTTATGACATTTTTAATGCAAATATGACATTGTTTGAGATGTCTTTGTTATGACAACTTGACATAAACCAATACATCATAACTTAAGAAAGCACCTAGCTTTATTGTTTAACATTACATTAAACTCTCAGGTGGTTGGTTTTGACATTGGCTGTCATGAAGCCATTATAACTTTTTAATGACAAATTCAATTAGTGCCACTGTAGTTGAGCTCACGAAAATATGCATGACAGTTATAATGCCTCATGACAGCCAATGTCAAAGTCAACCACATGACAGATTAACTTCATTTATGTCAAGATGTCATAACTAAGACATCTCAAACAATGTCATATTTGCAATTAAAATGTCATTATTGAGCGAAAGACACTTAATGAGTTGTCATAAACATACATAAACCCTACTTCATATTCAACTCATGTGTCATGTAATGGTTATGAAGGTGTCATGTCAGTCTTATGCACACCCCCTCAAGTAAAGTGTTACCAATTTGATTAAATGATCTTTAGTTTGCATATGCGTTTTCCCATTCATTTTAGTGGGCCAAACTGAGCAAAATTCAGTGAAATCGTTGATTTTAATATAGCCAGAAAGTTAAATGAAATCCTAATAGGATTATAACAGCATAATAGACTACTTACATATACTGTACTATATAAAAACCAGTCATCGTATTACTACTCATCACTGCCAATAATATGGCTTAGGAAGATCAACCATTCAATTTTCTATTTTTCTTTTCATAGTCAAGTTTTTGCCTAATTTTGCTCCCATTCGTGTTATCATTGTGTATGTTTCACTGTACACGACTGCATTCCCATGGGCTGCGATGAAATGATCCATGAAATGCGGGTCCATTTCACCCATCTGGCATCTAACTCCTGTGTATTTTGGTTCTCTTCAGTGTTTTTGGTTGCAGTTCAAACTAAATTTTAAACAAGTTCATTTGCGTCTATGACTCTTTGAAAATGTGTAATCCAAGCACTGAAATATTTCAGAATTCTTAGTTGGAAAACATTTTAGCTTTGTTTTTATTTTAATTTTTATGAACCTGACTTGCCTAAAACTCACTTTATAGATTTATTTCATGGGAATATCAACCCATGCGTACAGGAGTAGAGCCGTATTTAGACTCGGACTCTGAATCACAGTGAAGCCATTCATATCCTTCTCCCCGTCCCACACACACACACACACGTCTGTCAGGGGCAGTGTTATGCCAACCAATCTGTAAGGGAATCCCAGGGGAAATGTCCACTTAAATCAGGAAGTCTGAGGTTTCCCACAATTCCTTTGATTCCTGCTAGTGCACCAATATCCACGGGGATCAAGCCTGGGTCAGAAGAGCATAAAGGTGTGAGGTCTGCTTGAAAACCAGGTAATGTGTCGATGTTGTTATGGTACTTAGTTCTACAGATCTAATGCTTCTCAAAAGCTCCTTTGACAGTTTAAAGGGATAGTTCACCCAAAAATGTATTCTTCTGTCAGTAATTACTGCCCCTCATGTTGTTTCAACCCCGTAAGACTTTCGTTAATCTTCAGAACACAAATATAAGATATTTCTGATTAAATCTGAGAGCTGGATCACTCCTCCATCACACACCGCCAACGACAAAGCAACTGATCCCATTCATTTCAATGGAGCGCTGGCGACTTCCGGCGACACGAGCGACAGTGACCGTTGGCAACAGAATGTGGGCGTGTCAAGAGACAAGCGACAAAAGTTGAGAAATTTCAAATTTATGCAAATGAGAAGTGATTTTCGTGAGCGACAACCAATAGGAAAGAAGACTTTGAGTGGAGCTCACGTCACCGTCTCGAGTCCAGGCAAGACAGAAAGAAAGTGTTGAGGACGATTTCACTGTTTTATATGATTTGACTAGAACCACATGGATAATAAAATGATGCATGGAAAAGAAACTATCGACAATCTCAGTGAGTTTAATTCATACGTTTAACGTTATAGTTCGAGTGTTTTAATTTTATGATGCACGTTTAGCACTGCTGCAGTTCATTTGACAATTTCCCCTGCATTACGTTGACTATCAGAGACAAGAATATTAATTATTTGTCAAATTTGAATGACATTTTAATAATTTATGCCAGTATGAGTGAGTTTAATTTGTTGATTGATCGATCGTTAATCTAGTAAAATATTTAATCCACTGAACACCACTGTGGTAATATAAAAACACTCGCCAAAATGCATACGTTTTCTTTTTAGCCTTAAAGGGATAGCTCACTTTGAAATTAATTTTTGGTATGTTTTAGCTTACCATATTTTTATATATTTTATATCTTGATTTTTTGATATCTTGTCTGTCAGTCATATAATGGAGGTCTATGGTCACCACCTCAAAGAGCATGCACAGAGAAGTCCAAATTAAACATGATTTAATGACTCGTAAATGTAAGTACACATTGATGGCCTAAGACACGAAACGAGCGGTTTGTGTGAGAAAACGAACAGTATTTATATTATAGTATTTGTATTTATATCGACAGAAGTCGCTGGCGCTGTGAACGGGGCTTAAGGAATTGAAACTTGCCAGCCCAGAAAAGTTATTAAAGACATCGTTAAAATAGTCTGAGTGATTACAGTGGCCCAACCTTAAGGTTATCAAGCGACGAGAATACTTTTTGTGCAACACAGATGCGGTGCGCTGTTACACTACGTGAAATCTCGAGAATGAATAGTTAAATAAAGTCGTTATTTTCGTCTGTTTTTTTGCGCACAGATAGTATTCCCGTTGCTTGATAACCTAAAGGTTGAGCCACTGTAGTCACTTGGACTATTTTAACGATGTCTTTAATAACTTTTCTGTACAGGCAAGTTTTGATCCCTTAAGAAGCCTATGGAGGAGTGATCCAGCTCTCAGATTTAATCAAAAATATCTTAATTTGTGTTCAGAAGATGAATGAAAGTCTTACGGGGTTGGAACAACATGCAGGAGAGTCATTACTGACATTATTTACATTTTTGAGTGAACCTTTAACCCTGATTTTTCTATTGCATTGAGCTTTTAACCTTGGTTGAACTAGAATGCTGCGGGAATTACTTGTTTTTTGTACGATAAAACTCGATAATCAGTTTAGCACGTCCCAGGGGGTTTTAGTTAAAAGCCTAAAACAAAACACAAAAACACATTTTCACCTTTTATTTCACAACATAAAAAAAAAATCAGTACCTCATGATGTTTTTAAAGCTTTTGTCCTGATAAGGAGTTTGCTAACAAGTGTATAAACATTAAACATCATCACAGTGAACAGGTTAAACTCATCAGCCTCACTGTGTTTATAATCATGCTCTATTGCTGTTATAACACAAACGTTCAGGGAAAATGTCTTAAAGACTGAAAGAGTTGAAAGCGGGTGACACTGAAGTAGGTCATGTATAGCCTTTACATCAGACGACTGTATTTAGGCCCAAAAATTCAAGTCTATCATGAGGAATATCATAAAAACATAAAATTTAGTTGGTCACAGAGCTTTTTTTTTTTTTTTTTTTTCAGGCAACATTTCACCTATTGGCTTTTTGTTGAGCGAACCAGCATGATGCAAACTTCTACAAAAATACGCTCAAGATTGTAGCATTTTAGGTGAAATTAAAAAAAAAAAAATACACATTTTCTCTAATCATAGATTATGTCAAAAGGCAATATTATAGGTTTATACATAATATTAAAATCTTTAACTGATAATAGGTTAAAGTATACGACTAACCCCAAAGCAATTAAGAGCTGCTCTTCCATTTTTAGAAATATTTCTTCTATTTTTGTAGAAATATGTATTTGTTTTTATTTCAGTGCTTATGGTGCGTTCAAGTCCTCCTTCTCTTAATTAACTACACAAAAATATAGCAATGTTCTTCATTAACTGTATGTTTTTCATTAATTTCTGAAGCCACTCTAAACTTTATCGTTAGTTACATTCCAATAACTGAGGATTTTTAGTTTCTATTCAGGATGGTTAGATGAGCACACAGATGATAAAGGTGAGTCCTTGAATGAGGGTGTGACGGGTTCATGTTGCTGTGATTGTGAACGAGTGGTGGAGCTGGAGGACCTGGTGCTGATGTCACACTGGCTCAGTCCGTGTCACATGACATTACCTGTTCAGTTCTCCTGTTAAACTGCAGAGGCAGCACCGCTTCATCACTGCTTCTTCAGCTTAGCCAGTCTCGCTGCCTCCTTTGCTTTCTTCCACTTCAGCTGTTTCTTGATAAGCATGAGGTCGATGTACACACGGTAATTTAGGACGGTGGCGGCACAGAGAAGACCACCATGCAATGCACCAGCGATACCACAGCTGAACATGTCCTGGCCTGTAATGCACAGAAAACAAGTTCAAATGCTCTGATCTTTAAATGGAGTGAAGTGGCAGAAATATTTGTTGCTAAATATTGCATATTAGGTAATATAGCTATGCACATTATATATATATATATATATATATATATATATATATATATATATATATATATATATATATATATATATATATATATAAATCTGTGTGTGTATAGACCATTTTGCAAGATGTAAACAACAATGGTCTAGAAACACTTCCTGTTTCAGTTTGTAACCGTTTTCTTTATTTCACATGTAAAGAAAAAAATCTTAAAGATGTTTGTTTAACTTTTTGATTCAGTTTTATATGTTCTGTTGGTTGTATTTTATCCCAGCTTTTATGTAGTGTTAAAAAACTGAAACAGGAAGTGCTTCTGGACCAGTTTTGTTTACATCTTGCAAAATGGTCTATAATAATACAAATTGTATATAATATAAAAATTGAGACTACTTGAGACTAAAACTAACAATGAGCAATACATTTGTTGACTATTTATTAATCTTTGTTAAAGTTAGTTATAACATACAACTATTCATTGTTAGTTCATGTTAGCTCAGGTCCATTAAATCAGTGATCCGAGATCCCCCTTTTCCCAAGAAAATATTTTAGGGCTTCATATTATTTATACTAATATTTACATCATTTTAGTTATACTTCATATTAGTTATACTAATATTAGTAATATTTACTAATATTTTAGCCCCCCCTTTTCCCAAGAAAATATTTTAGGGCTTCACGTTTAGGTTTAATTATATTATCACTATGTTTACTAGGCTATAACCAGATATGTTTATGCATAAATAATAGCCTATTATATTGAAAATACAATAACAAAAACATCAGTAGGCCATTTGTAATTTAAGAACGTAAGCCTAGGAAAAGTCTATAGCCTTGGCCCTATTTGAAATGAAAAAAAATAAATAAAAAAAATCACACTGGTGTGTAGGTAAAAAAGAAAGAAAAGAATATAGGCTATTAATAAATGACTGATGTCTGGGGCCTCAATACTTGTAAGTTGTTCGTGAGGCTTTATTTTTGACGCTTTTGGCTATAAACATAGTAGCCGGAACTACTTCTCTCTGTGTACGTCTATGACGAGTCACGCAGGTACTGGGCTACTCCGCAGCGACAACGAACCGAACCAGTGTAAAATAGTCCCAATGTAAACACGTATATTATAGGTGTACCATAGTGGTTCAGGATCAGACTAAAACACGGATTGATGGATTCATGAGGAACTCGCCCATTATATAAATTTTGAACAGAAAAAAAGTAAAGGACTCTTATTTAATGCTCATTGCTCAAAACTTTTAAAAATATGACGCGACTCCCACAGAGCTCGCTGAGGCCCCCTTGTGGGCCGCGATCCCCCCGTTGGGAACCGATGCATTAAATAATATTAACAGATTCAACTTTTGATTTGAATAACGTATTAGTAAAGATTAAGGTAGCACTTTCATTTACAGTCCTGTTTCACATGTACATACTATATACTTATTAATTACAATAACTGGGTAATAACTAGGAACTAGTCCTGAACTCACCCCTAAACCTGACCTTTACCCATGCAGTTACCTTATATTAATCATACTTTATTGGTAAATATACTGTTAGTACATTGAAAGTGCATATACTGTAAAATAAAGTGCAACCAAAATAAATAAATGCTTATTTAAGGAGTATTTCTCATTGTTGATTCGTGTTAACTAGTGTTGGTAGGAACTTTATAAAGTATTCTTTGCAGCCCCTCTTTAACCCTTGCAGAAAACAGTGAAGAGCCGGAGGAGCACTGTACCTGACAAATAAAGGTTTTTGACGGGGGTATCACAGCGATTTCGAGCCATGGCCTCTGAGTAGTAGCGGTCCAGGTTGTGGTCAGCAGAGTATATGGCCCCTAGGTTACAGCCGAGGTAGTGTGTGTTTGTGAGAGGAGTTGCTGCCTCCTGATACACCAGCTGAGTCACACACACACAGAGAGAGAGAGAGAGAGAGAGAGAGAGAGAGAGAGAGAGACAGTGATCCTTCTGAACACTCAATCACGCTCACTTTCTGACTGACATCTGCATACATCTATAAATAATACTGATTATTTTGCAGACACAGAAAACAAAGCTAAAGTCATCATACATTTGAAATACATTAAAATAGGCAAAGAATATTTACAATATTGCTGTTTTACTGTATTTCAAATAAATGCAGCATTGATGAGCATTAGATTCAAAAACATTAAAAATCTTTTTTTAATGGAATATTTCAGTGGTTATTATAAATGATTTCTCTGTGCAAAATGCAAATCATTATTTTGTTTTGAATTCACGTGTCCTTATAATCTTTAATAGATTTAACAATTCAAACATTTTCCAGGCCAACATTTTTTGACTAAAGTTCACACTATAAACTTTAATACTAAGTGCCTCAAACTAAATCCTGAGAACAAGGTTCACTGTTCTGTTTTGACATTTTGAATGACCTTTTATCATTTTTTATCGTTTAAAGATTATTTTTGCCCTTAAATGAAGAATAAAAAGATCTTTGCTGTGAGTATATGAGTGTGTGTCCTCTGCTAGCAAAGCAACTGCCGTTGAGATGAATGGGAATGACTTTCTCCAGGTAATAATGAAAATCATTCCTACTCTTTGGCAAGTCAATGAACAGGCTATAGGTGAGTAATGAGACTACCCATTTCCACCCCTTATCCCTAACCACCCCTACACCTACCCATCTCCGCCCCCTAATCCTACCAATCTCCACCCTCTGATCCCTAACCCCACCCCTAATCCTACCCATCTCTGCCCCCTGATCCATAACCCCACCACTCATCCTACCCATCTCCACCCCTGATCCCTAACCCCACCCCTAATCCTACCAATCTCCGCCCCCTGATCCCTAACTCCACCTCCAATCCAACCCATCTCCGTCCCCTGATCCCTAAACCTACCCATCTCCACCCCCTAATCCTGTCCGTCTCTGCCCCTGATCCCTAACTCCACCCCTAATCCTACCAATCTCCACCCTCTGATCCTTAACTCCACCCCTAATCCTACCCATCTCTGCCCCCTGATCCATAACCCCACCACTCATCCTACCCATCTCCACCCCTGATCCCTAACCCCACCACTCATCCTACCCATCTCTGCCCCTGATCCATAACCCCACCACTCATCCGACCCATCTCCGCACCCTGATCCCTAACTCCACCTCCAATCTAACCCATCTCCGTCCCCTGATCCCTAAACCTACCCATCTCCACCCCCTAATCCTGCCCATCTCCACCCCTAATCCTGCCCATCTCCACCCCCTGATCTCTAACCCACCCCTAATCCTAACCATCTCCACCCCCTGATCCCTAACTCCACCCCTATTCCTACCCATCTCCGCCCCCTGATCCCTAACCCCACCCCAATCTTACCCATCTCCGCCCCTGATCCCTAATCCTACCGATCTCCGCCCCATAATCCTGCCAATCTCCGCCCCCGATCCCTAACTCCACCCCCAATCCTACCATCTCCACCCCCTGATCCCTAACCCCACCCCTAATCCTACCCATCTCCACCCCTTAGATCTGGATGTAACTCCACCCCCTGGATCTTGTGTACTGCAATAAGGTGCTGCTGTCCTTATTTAGACTCTTCGGTCAACCTATGAATGACTTACGTGACTCTGCACATTATTCAGGAAAGGACAAAAGTATTTTAACACTGAAAAGATTACACACTTCTCCCTTTTCACTCATTTTCCATGTTAAAATAACAGATTTCGAAGTACCTTATCTCTGAGTTTCGGGAAGTGTTTGCAGGCCCAGTCAAAGAGATGGTTGGCAAATCTCATCTTATAGTCGAAGTAATCGTCGCCTCTCTTCCTCACTCGAGTGTCTTTCCACTCTTCAAACCATTCATAGTTGACCATGGTCAGGATGGTCATACATGACTTGCCTGGAAAATGTGTATGTTGTTAGAATATGGCATGACATTATTAACAGCACAACAGAATCATGATTTCGTGCAAATGACAAACACGTCATTTATAAATGCAAAAAATGAACATTTTCAGCGAACATTAGCTGTCTGAATAATGAAGTGTTTTTTCTTTATTTTAATATCAGACTCAAACAGGCACTACAACTGTTCAAAAGTCTGAGGCAGTATGATTTTTTTTTTAAAGAAGAAATTTATATTTAGATTTTCTAAGGATGCAGTAAATTGGTCAAAATTGACAGTAAAAAATAAACAAATAAAAGTGGTTTTGAACTTTCTATTCATCAAAGAATCCTGAAAAAAAGTATCATGGTTTCCAAAAATTATTAATCAGCAATACACAGCAAAAACGGCATTTTCTAAACAATTATTGTTTTCTTGTTTTTCAGTCAAATGTTTAAATATCTCTAAATCATGAGAAATATGAAAATTAAATATTAAATATTTTCAAATCAAAATGAAGTGACTATTTTATAGACAGATTTGTTTTAAGTATAAAAGTTAATATTTTTAATTACATATAGAAATTAATACATTTAATTAGTACTAAAGCATTACATTTATCATAAGGAATTTCTATTTTAAATAAATGCTGTTCTTTTGAACTTTCCATTCATCAAAGAATCATGAACAAAATTGATCGCGGATTCCACAGAAAATATGAACTGTTTGCAACATTAATAATAATCATAACTGTTTCTTGATCATCAAATCATCATATTAGAAGGACCATGTGACACTGAAGACTGGAGTAATGATGCTGAAATTCAGCTTTGATCACAGGAATAAATTACATTTTAACATATATCCACAAGGAAAACAGTGACTTTAAATTGTAATAATATTTCCTAATTACTGTCTAAAAAAATCCTTGGCCTTGATAAGTGATGTTACCTGGGTGACGGATCTGTGATGTGGGGTCTTTGGCTGAGGGGAAAGTGAGGAGCATCATGGGAATGTTCTCTGGCGCCTCGTCTTTACTCATACCAAAGAACTCATCCATCCTGCAGGTGAAAATTGACTCTCAATTTACTGCAGTCTCACTTTATGTGCTAATTAGACATACGGCTCTATCAGAAAACAACATGAGAGTACAGGAAAGTTTGGAAAGGACTGGAATGATGTTTTCCCACAGGCAGGAAGCTAAGAATTGCTTGTTGGACTGAAAGCAGGAAACCTGTCCAGACAGAAGTGTGGCAGCAGGCCTGGACAGATGGGACGTGTCCGGAAATGGTTTAGTCAACAGCACCACCTAGTGTTTGATAGTTGGAGCTGCAAGCGATTCATGTAGTTTGCAAATCAATGCTTCATCTGCTTTTGAAAATGTGCACTTAAATGTATTGAATGTGAACTTGTGGTGTACTTCAAATCTTAAAAGTGTATTTTTTTTTAAAAAAACCGTATTTGTAGATAATATAAGAATGAAAAAAAGGCCACCTAAGTGTACTTAAAGGATTAGCCTAGTCACTTTAAAAGTTTTGCTGATAATTTACTCACCCCCATGTCATCCAAGATGTCAATGTCTTTCTTCCTTCAGTCGAAAAGAAATTAAGGTTTTTGATGAAAACATTCCAGGATTTTCTCCATATGGACTTCAATGGGGTCCAAACGGTTCAAGGTCCAAAGTGCAGCTTCAAAGGGCTTTAAAGACACCAGACGATGAATAAAGGTCTTATCAAGCAAAACGACCGCTCATTTAAAAAAAGTGTAAGTTTTATAAGCACACATGCTCGCCTTGCTCTGTTCTGTGATGTGCGTTCTTGACTCTCCTGTTCGAACTCGTTCATCAAAATGAACAAATCTTTTTTCGAGTCAGAACCAAATGATTCGTTCATTTTGATGAACGAGACGAGTTCGAACAGGAGTCACGAACGCGCATCACAGAGCAGAGCAGGCGAGCATGTGTGCTTATAAAACTTATTTATTTTAACTATTAACTTAACTTTTTTTTTAATGAGCGATCGTTTCGCTAGATAAGATGTCGTTTAAAGCCCTTTGAAACTCTCATTAGGACCTTGAACTGTTTGGCGCCAAATTAATTTCTTTTCTACTGAAGAAAGAAAGACGTGGACATCTTGGGTGACATGGGGGTGAGTAAATCATCAGCTATGTTTTATGTTTTTATTTTTTATTTTTTATTTTTAAGTGAACTAATCCTTTAAAGAGAGCACGCTTTCTTAAAACGCTTGAAAAGTGCACTTTGTAATAATGTCAAATTATTGATATCAGTAACTGTAGGCTAAATATATTTTAAATACACTAAATTGCGACTTCACTGCTAAAAATGTGTAACTATTTGAGTACCGTGTATATTTTATTTAAATATATGACATACAAGTTTCATATAAATGAAATAAAAAAGACATGTGACGCTGGACCACAAAAAAACAAAACCAGTCACAAGGTTCACTTTTTTAAATTGAAATTTATACATGATCTGAAACCTGAATAAATAAGCTTTCCATTAATGTGTGGTTTGTTAGGATAGGACAATATTTGGACTAAAAATATCTGGAATATGAGGGTGCAAAAAAATCGAAACATTGAGAAAATCACCTTTAAAGTTTGTCCATTTTTGTTCACGATTTTGCTTTATCCACTCACAAAAATATTTTGTATATGTACGGTTGGATATGTACAAAATATCTTCATGGAACTTGATGTTTACTTAATATCCTAATGATTTTCGGCATAAAAGAGAAATCGATATAATTTTGACCCATAAAATGAATGTATTGTTGGCTATTGACTTGTGACTGGTTTTGTGGTCCAGGGTCACATATTAGTTTACCATAAATGTGTGTCACTGCAATAGGCGTACACTAACCATATTTCAAAGTTAAATTATGAAATTACATAAAAATATGTACTAAAAAGCATCAAAACAGCACTCTTAAGTTCAACTAACTACATTTAATATAATTTTAAACTACAATACATTTTCATTTAATTATAGTGTCTGAAAATATTACATTCTGTTCATATTTAAGTATATTCTTTTAAAGTATATAACTTCCATAATATATACTCTTTTTAAGTGCTTCAGGGGTTTACTTGACTTTCATTCATTTTTGTTTTAATTTAATTTGAACCATTGACCCATGATTTTGGTTTAGAGCAAAAAAAAAGTGATTGTTTTAGTTAGGAATAGTGATTACCAAATGCATTCAAATATTTTTATATTAAGATAAACAGGTTGTATTCTTTGCTTTTTGACTTAAAAAATAAATAATTAATAATTAAAAATAATAATAAAAAATATGGACAAATATGGCTCAAATATGGACCAAGTGTTGGGTGAAAAATGCAATTTAAAATTTGAACCCAACTTCAACGTTCACTTTCAATTGTACATTTTTTAATTACATTTTTAACCCAACATTTGAGTTTGTCCATATTTGACCCAAATTTGGGTTGAAACAACCCAGCATTTTTTAGAGTTATATATATATATGAAGTGTTCAGATGCAAAAGCCTCTAAATGCCATTTGAAATTTTCTTCTTTAATGATGATTTTTATCAAACTTGTATATTTAAGTTCAGTAATTTCACTTAAATAACAATTATTAGGTAATCATCATTGCCATTGAAGTGAAATTACTGAACTTAAATATACAAGTTTGATAAAAATCATCATTAAAGAAGAAAATTTCAAATGGCATTTAGAGGCTTTTGCATCTGAACTCTTCATATATATATATATATATATATGCTAAAGCTAAAGTAGCTGAATAGTATGTTTTTTAATATACTGACATGCCATCCATGTCATTGGATTTGAAGAGCCAGATGCTGGTGGACACGATGTCTAACTCTTCCTCGGTCGCATCAAACCCTGAGAAGAGGAGGAACGAGGCTTTACCGGGCCTCAACATGTTCAGACGACTCTGAATCTCTGAAATATAAGAAAACAACGCATCAAGTCAATCAAGAGCAGTTTTACACCAGGTGATGTTGCATTAACGCACACAGAATATTATTCACCTGGTTTGACTTGTATTTCCGGAGGTAAGAGCTTCTGGAAAGTGTTGAAAATCCCACAGTTGGAAATGATAATAGGAGCCCGCACTTCCACATGCTCATCACCTTTCCTCACCGTCACTCCTGTCAATCAAACCGCATTAAATACATACTCTACATAAATGCTAAATTAGAAGAACCTGAAGTTATTTATGTGTTCTCACCATATGCAGCTCCCTTCTTATCCACTAGGATTCGGCTGACAGGGGCGCGGACCAGCACACGGCCATTGTATTTCTCGATGACCTTAGTGATGTGGAACGGGATCTCACTGGCGCCCCCTTTAGGGTAGTATGCGCCTCGCTTGAAGTGGTGCAGCATCAGAGCATTGATCATACAGCTGGAGTCTTTAGGAGCCACACCTGGAGCAGAGATCCAAGAAACACTTCTCCCTTTACACTCATTCACTATTCCTTACATTAGTCCACAAATATAGTCCACTTGAAGGAGTGAATGAAAACACTGAGTGCGCCGGAAGGGCTGCCGCTTTTGTGCTTGCCGTTTGGCTGCACCAGTAGTAATGAAAGCATTTATCTCCTAATAAAGGGGTGATGAACTGAGAAATCAAAGTTTCCTTGAGCTTTTGACATCTAAGAGGTCGTCATATTATAAGAATATCCTGTAAGTTTCAGAACTGAAAACGTCAGGCTCAGCAAACGACTCGTTTTTCATACCACCCCCGCAGGAGAAGATCAACGCCTACTTCAACCATAGACTGTAAAAAAAGATGGACGACGCGCCTTCTCTCTTTTCCATCAGAGTGAACTGAAGCCGCCAGTGTCTCGATGTGACGCTGACATCTTGGACTTGAGTCTGCGCACTTGCGTGTTTCGGGACCAGTCATGCGCAGTCGTGAGCAGGAAGTAAAGCCGCGAAATGAAGGCCGCGCCCTCATTCTCGCTCAATCAAACGCAAGCTCACGCACTTTCATTAAGTGTCATCTGTCTGCTTCGTACTTCTCCAATGATGTTAAAATAAGGTAAATACAACTACTAACCACATAATCAACATAATTAAAAAACGTCCGCTGGTGCTTCAGTGACTACCTCGCACAGAGAACCTGTCAATCACAGCTGTCAATCATGATGTCAGAGCATCGTTATTTTATCATCACATAACTAACTAAAAACAAACTTATTTTAAAAACGAACACTTGAAATTACATCAACGTGATAGAAACTACATTAAATGACAGAAACTATCTTTGGAAAAAGGATATGTGAAATGTAATTTAATTGTTTAGTTGGTCTCGCGTCCCATTGAATAACATGGGGAGGCGGGGGTTGTGAGCTATACTAGGTCCGGTCACAGGGGGGCGATCGAGACGTTTTGGCTTCACTTTTGAGGGCTTGTGAGGCACGTTTGACTTCAACACGCCCGTTAGCCCCGCCCACCGATTCGCGCATTACACACATAGCTAAATAACATAGATGCCTAACTCGTGATGACAAACCGGATCGAGCTACCGAGCGATACAGTATATTGTGCAGCGCCTGGTTGTGGAAGAAGACAGTCGCTGCATGAGCTTCCTCATGTTCCCAATAGGACTGCATGGATAAACTTTATTTTTAATGACGTTCCAGCTGATGAGGGTAAAACATTGTCCGTTTGTTCGCTTCATTTTACTGAGGATTGTTTTGTAAACAAGACTGGATTTGCAGAGCGATTAAGAGTAAAGAACGGTGCTGTGCCGTCTATATTGGATCTGACAGGAATTGTGCAACACACGGACTCTGGGTCGAACATGTATGGGCGAATCATTCCGGTTGCCATTTTATAACATTGGACGTTTTCAAAACAATTTCCCCCACGTGCACCGACAAGTGAGTCGAAACTCATTATAATATGCAAAACTGAGTAGTGGGCGTTTACTTCCAAGTCTTCAGTGCGAGACGCCCATAAAAACCGAGCGTTTTTCAGCTCATCTCAAAACTAGGGTACAAAATAGCCTGTTACTTATTCATTTTGATGTTTTTGAATATAAAAACCAAGTGAACGTCATAAGTTGACCTCAGAAAACAATATAATACAATTTAAAAAGCCAGTTCATGACCCCTTTAATAAAACAATTTAATAATCAACTAAAACATTTTTTATGACATTACGCTGCTGCCACATTGGACCAGTGATTTTTAAAAAGTACAGATTAATTTCAGATGTGGGAATTCATTCAGTGGGACCCTCACAGTGCATTATGGGTATTGTGGGTAAAAGTTTTCATAGGAACATGTTTTGCCCCAGACCACTTGCTTAATGCGTTTACACCACGGACTAAAGTGCCGGTCCGGAGCGGGAAGATCATGTAGTGATGTTGAACTGCGTGCGATTGCTCTCCAGTCTGCTTTGTTTTGAGTTTTGTATATGGAGGAGATTCAAGCTGTGCTGCTTTTGTGTGCGATTGGTTTACTAACGAGGTAATTAACAAAACGGCAGAAAAGAGACGAGCACCCAAAGCGTATTCCGAAAGCTCGTAAAGCTAGATATAAAAGTAGACGTTTGTTATCAGCTGACGTTGACAGTGAGATGGATGGGACGAACGCGCGCCATCGAACAGCAAGAACAAGTGGTAAAAACCATCTTTCTTTCTTCAGTCGAAAAGAAATTAAGGTTTTTGATGAAAACATTCCAGGATTTTTCTCCATATAATGGACTTCAATGGGAACCAAACGGCCAGTTACATCATTCCCAGACTTTAAACCTGATACAAGGGCTAAAACACTATTACTGCTGGCAAAACAGTTAATTGCGTATCGTTGTGTTTAGTGCACAACAATAATTAATGTGCAGAAATCCTCACCATAGAAGTAATATGAGAAGACCATTTGCAAGTCCTTGTTTGTTGTCAGTCTGTTGTTGAACTCTGTGGCGCTGGATTCTGACAGCCGGAAGATGGACGAGCAGAAGTCAGCGATGCCACTTTTGATCAGAAAGAGAGCCAGCCACTGTGGAATCAGCTTTATGATGCCTAGAAGAGGAACCTGCCTCGCTGTGATCTGGACAAAACAGAGGAGAAGACAGGAACAATGAGCTTAAAGGAGTAGTTCACTTTAAAAAAAACTTTTGCTGATAATTTACTCACCCCCATGTCATCCAAGATGTCCATGTCTTTCTTTCTTCAGTCGAAAAGAAATTAAGGTTTTTGATGAAAACATTCCAGGATTTTCTCCATATAATGGACTTCAATGGGGTCCAAAACGGTTCAAGGTCCAAAAGACAGTTTCAGTACAAACAAATGACACCAGACGATGAATAAGGGTCTTATCTAGGACCCTTCGAGTCATGACTCGAAAAAAGATTTGTTCATTTTGATGAACGAGTTCGAACAGGAGAGTCACGAACGCGCATCACAGAACAGAGCAAAGCGAGCATTTGTGCTTATAAAACTTAAACTTTTTTATTTATTTTCAAAATGAGCGATCATTTCGCTTGATAAGACCCTTATTCATCGTCTGGAATCGTTTAAAGCCCTTTGAACAGTTTGCACTGAAACTGTCTTTTGGACCTTAAACGGTTTGGTGCCCATTGAAGTCCATTATATGGAGGAAATCCTGGAATGTTTTCATCAAAAACCTTAATTTCTTTTCAACTGAAGAAAGAAAGACATGGATTTCTCGAATGACATAGGGGTGAGTAAATTATCAACAAATTTTTTTTTTTTTAAAAGTGAACTACTCTTTGTTTTATTTGACTTTTTTCTTTTATGATGGAGAATGTGGAAGATGGATCACTCTAGACAGGTTCAGACAAGAACAAAGTAAAAAAAAAAGATCAACTTAGTACATGGTGCATAATAAACCCTATTATCAGGAATTGTAATAAGGTGACGTAACTATTGTCCAACTGGGATGTAAGCACATTGAAGGATTTTCAATTCATCCGGTCATTGCAAAAACTGGCAGAGGCCCAGGCTTGGCTTGAGGCAATTCACAGACAGATTTCCGAGGTCTAAAACCCCTGGATCGCGGCCAAATCGCTGGTCTGAGACATACAGAATCGTTTGAATTTTAGCTACTCCAATTCTGCTTCCTAATTATATAATTCTACTTCCTAATATGTTAATACACTTTATTGATTAACAATATTATAGAGATGATAGGCGGAAAATTATGCCGCCGTCACTTTAATAACTGCACAGATCCAGTATACTGTGTTTTTTCAGTTTCTTTGTCAACTGTTTACGTTCACTTATATATAACAGGATATTTTGACATTTTTGTGTGTATTTGTACATTCAAGAGCAAAAAGAAGCGATAGAGAACTCTTCATCAGTATGAGAGGCGGCTTTCTGCGTGTGTGCATCGCAGAAAACAGCGCGCGGTTCTTCTTGTGCTTGAATGGTTTAAAGTCTGCACACACAGGAATCAATAAGAGGAGTCGAATTTTTCATTTTTTATATAACAAATGTCCCATTTCAGAAATGGAATCGAGTTTCAATTCCCAAAAATATTGAAGCTTGCTTCTGCCACGGAATAAAATTACGACTTTTTTTCTAATTTTTCTTCCTTTTTTTTGGAATTTCCAGTGCCAGTCTCAAGCAATCACAGATGCTGCAATATTTTAAAACTGTTTGACATTATTCCCATGTGATCTTGTAGTGTGTTTGATGCAACGATAAGGTGGATTCAATCACAGTGAGACAGTATAAACGAAAACAAATTCGTAATCAAAAGGCACGTTTACGCCATGTTGTAACAACCAGGATTACGAGATTACAACTTGTAAAAATGTTCACGACCTCACGGAATGCCAACTTGTAAATTGGGAATTTTCGGAGAGCTCCGATTTATACCACATGACCACAGCAGATTTAGTGGCGTTGATTGTGTTGTGATTGAAACATATAATTCCAAACAGCTCAGAGTAGAATGTCATTATGGTAATTACAACATGGCGTGACCGCAGCAGAAATCTCTAATGTAATTCTCGCATGAATTTATGAGAAATAGTTTTTTTTTTTTTTTTTTTTTTTTTTTTGCTGCTGGTTGGGACTGCCTCTTAAAGGAGTAGTTCACTTTAAAAAAAAAAAAACTTTTGCTGATAATTTACTCACCCCCATGTCATCCAAGATGTCCATGTCTTTCTTTCTTCAGTCGAAAAGAAATTAAGGTTTTTGATGAAAACATTCCAGGATTTTTCTCCATATAATGGACTTCATTGGGAACCAAACGGTTCAAGGTCCTAATGAGAGTTTCAGTGCAGCTTAAAAAAGGGCTTTAAACGACACCAGACGATGAATAAGGGTCTTATCAAGCGAAACCATCGGTCCTTTAAAAAAATTAATAAAAAAGTTTAAGTTTTATAAGCACAATTTCTCGCCTTGCTCTGTTCTGTGATGCGCGTTCGTGACTCTCCTGTTTGAACTTTTTCATCAAAAAATCTTTTTTCGACTCATTATTTTAAATGAGTGATCGTTTCGCTAGATAAGACCCTTATTCATCGTCTGGTGTCATTTAAAGCCATTTGAAGCTGCACTGAAACTGTCTTTTGGACCTTGAACCATTTGGTGCCCATTGAAGTCCATTATATGGAGAAAAATCCTGGAATGTTTGTTTTCATCTAAGACCTTAATTTCTTTTCAACTGAAGAAAGAAAAATATGGATATCTTGGATGACATGGGGGTGAGTAAATTATCAGCAAAAGTTTTTTTAAAAGTGTGAGCTTGCCTTTAGAAACGTAAGATGATGGACGCTTTACCTTCATGACCTTAAAGAACTCCTCAATAGCTTTGACATCGTCTGGAAACTGCTTCTTCAGGTTGCGCTCCATCTCAGTCTTGCCACTCAAGATGGAGTATTCTCTCTGCTTCTCTCCGTCTTCAATCACAATACTGTCGAAATGCTGCTTTAGCTCCACAAACTCCATCTGACCCTCAGTGATTTGATCGAAAGCGACCTTAAGCATCGCGTTTTCATGCAGCTGACCGAAGTAGTGAAGTCCTTTTACATGGAAAAAAAAAAAGTTCTTGAAACATCTTATGATATTATTCACAAAACATTGCTTTTACATAACCAACACAATCCTGGATGTAAAAATGTTGGTGATGAGAAAGTAAAACCTTTTAATGATCACTCTGCGATGGACATCGCTTAATGCTCAATTTGGTAGCTTCTATAAAGGCATCTAGATCTAGAGTAAAACAGCTTTTCACTTAAAGCAACACCAAGTAACTTTTCCTCTGCGGTCCCCCTACAGGTTGGAAGCGGAATTGTTCATTACCGCTGTCGAAAATAATGTATCCTACCGCTGCCGACTGTCGCACGCACGCTCGCTGTTTATCCAGCTCCGGCTTTAGAATGAACGATGTCCACAGACAAGCTAGAGTATGTTACATGATTTCATGAAAGTATGATGTATTGCGACAAAAAATAAATAATGCCTATTATAACGCTTGACGTAAAGCAAGTTAAATTTGTAGTTTACTTAGGTCTCATTAGAACTACAGAAACGCGACCTGGTCCTGCAATCTTACATAGCGTGGTTATAGCAGATATAAGACCGCAACGCGGTTTCAACGCCTGTTATGACTTAATGAACCACTGAAACGATTTTGGAAACATTATTTTAAGGTAAAAATCATACTTAGTGTGGCTTTAATAAAACCATAGAACACAATCCATTCAAAAGACCTGAACCAGAGACGATGCAACCCGTTTTACAGAATGCGGAAGTTTGTTGCACATAATCCCCAAAGGGAGAAAACCATCACAACACTATGTGATGTGTGATACTTAATAATTAAAGACATTTATTTAATTATAAATACATCACTATGTTGTGATTGAGGTCGAAGCTGGTTGTGTTGGTTCAGAACCTAAAATCTTTATTAAAGTATCTTTTTATAAAATCACTATGGAAGTAAGGGATGGTCCATACCCACGTCAAACTCAAAGCCCTTCTCAGTGAAAGTGTGACAGCAGCCTCCCGCCACGTCGTGCTGCTCCAGAACCAGGACTTTCTTCCCTGATTTGGCCATTGTGGCTGCAGCCGTCATTCCTCCGATCCCACTGCCGATTATGATTGCATCAAGATCCTTTGGAATCTTCTCCTTGGTGAATCCTAAAAATACATGCAGTAAGTAAACATACATGTACAGTATGTAGTCAACCAAAAATGCCTCTTAACCCGAGATGGTCCTCACTGCAGAACACGAATTCTAGGGGGAGGAGTTGGATCCAGATACAACTCCTCCCACCTTACATATACCTAATCCTACCCATCTCCGCCCCCAATCCCTAACCAGACCCCTAATCCTACCCATTTCCGTCCCCCGATCCCTAACCAGACCCCCAATCCTACGCATCTCTGCCCCTGATCCCTAATCCTACCCATCTCCGCCCCTTGTTCCCTAACCCCACCCCTAATCCTACCCATCTCCGCCCCCTGATCCCTAACCCACCCTAATCCTACCCATCTCCACCCCTGATCCTTAACCCCATCCCTAATCCTACTCATCTCCGCCCCCTGATCCCTAACCCCACCCCTAATCCTACCCATCTCCGCCCCTTGATCCCTAACCCCACCCATCTCCGCCCACTGATCCCTAACCCCACCCCTAATCCTACCCATCTCCACCCCTGATCCTTAACCCCATCCCTAATCCTACTCATCTCCGCCCTTGATCCCTAACCCCACCCCTAATCCTACCCATCTCCGCCCCTTGGTCCCTAACCCCACCCATCTCCGCCCACTGATCCCTAACCCCACCCCTAATCCTACCCATCTCCACCCCTGATCCTTAACCCCATCCCTAATCCTACTCATCTCCGCCCCCTGATCCCTAACCCACCCCTAATCCTACCCATCTCCGCCCACTGATCCCTAACCCCACCCCTAATACTACCTATCTCCGCCCCCTGATCCTTAACCCCATCCCTAATCCTACTCATCTCCGCCCCCTGATCCCTAACCCACCCCTAATCCTACCCATCTCCGCCCCTTGATCCCTAACCCCACCCATCTCCGCCCACTGATCCCTAACCCCACCCCTAATACTACCTATCTCCGCCCCTGATCCTTAACCCCATCCCTAATCCTACCCATCTCCAAAAATAATGAAATAAATTACTGATAATAACAACAATAAACAACATATACCATTATAACATTTAATTTTGACTAATTTATCAAATAAATTTATACTTAACTGCACTAGCCAGTATTTTAAGTTATGTAAGTTATTAGCCTACACATTAAAGTGACATTGAGAATGTTAAGACATCAATTATTTTCTTTGTCAATATGTGACCACATTATTTAATATAAACTTGCATTTTATAATTCGCTGATGCATTTCAAGTTTGTTATTCATTATCTGTCCTTCTATTCATGTACAACAGAGCCCAGCACATTTAGACTACTGTACTCACTCGTCATACCAACAACAAAAAGACTTGAAAGCAACAGTGTTCATATCTTATGTAACACTTTACTGCACCAAGAACATGAAGCACAGTGACTGATACAGGAAATTAATAGTCCAATCCTGATCTGGCTTAACTCTCATCTCCCAGTGGGTGAAGAGGCCCGATAAGGGGTTAACATGACCGAATACAGTATTATCTTTATAAGCCCTAAACACTTAAAATAAGAGTTTGTCTGAGAACTACAAGTGTTATCACAATTGGATAATCAAATTAAGATAAAGGTAAAGCCATCGACACACATGCATGTTAATTGTTTTATAATAGCATTATCAATGTTACATAATTAGATTATCTTAAACAGTCTTTACATTCTGTGTCAGTTTATATTATCTGATAATACTTTAAGGTAACACAGGATATCACACATGTCATTGTATAAAAGAGACCTTTTATTTGTCAAAAGGAAATATGTCATAATTTACTAACCCAAACACTTCTTTGGCACAAACAAAAGCACAATTAATTTTTGGTATGTTTTATCTTACCTCAAGGGCATCCAAGGTGTAGGTGTCTTTGTGTCCACAGTAGTTTCAATTTTGATATTTTTAGGTCAAACCGTTCTTCTCTGTCAGTCATATAATGGAGGTCTATGGTCACCACCTCAAAGAGCATGCACAGAGAAGTCCAAATTAAACATGAGTTAATGACTCGTAAATGTTTTTTTAATGACATTTACGAGTCATTAAATCACATATAATCTGGACTTGCTCTTTGAGGTGGTGACCATAGACCTCCATTATATGACTGACAGACAAGAACGGTTTGACCTAAAAACATCAAAACTGAAACTACTGCGGAAACAAAGACCCCTAATTCTTGGATGCCCTTGAGGTAAGATAAAACATACCAAAAATTCAATTTCAAAGTGAACTATCCCTTTAAGGTCCAATTAAAGTAGTTTTTTTTTCATGCTTTAGCCAAAAAAGTGCACTTATTTTGATGTGTTAACAAACAGACAGCCGAGGCACACTTGTAGTGTGTTCATTTATATAAACTGGATCTTCATGTGTTATTGCAAAAATATGTAAATAAATGACATGCAGTGTTCAAAAACGTTACATTCAGCTCACACTTAAGTATATTCTTTTTAAGTATTTCCATAATAAGCACTCTTACAGTTATTTAAAAGTTATTCAGATTTGTATTCATATGATATACAATTTAGAGTTCATCATGCCCTCGTAATCTTTCATCAAAAACATTAACTTTTCTCTTCATCTAACTTTCTAATTACTACAGAGCCCATAAAGACTATCGCGTGCACACGAGAAAGACAAGTCTGTATGCTTTTTTTTATTTTTGCAAAGGTCCCTTTGAAGCTCCGTACATTTCTGATGATGTGCTTTAAAAAAATATCTAACTAAGCCATTTTGCTTGGAATAATACAAACAGATTAAAAGATAAGATAAACTATTAACACTTCACTTTGTTTCTATATTCTTGAGATAACTCGGATGCTTATGATGTTATGATGTTTAGAAGCTTAAATGCATTCAGTGCTCATATGTTACATTTGAAGAGCTAAAAGAGCTTGCGAATCACTTTTAAAATGTAGCGGATTATCAGAACAGCGAGGTCGTTCTCAGGGCAGAGAAGCCTTTAGCATGTCTGGTTATTCACCTTGTTTCAGCACTTTGTCTCTCTTTCTCTGGTCCAGCTCCATAGGTCCCGGAGGCCTCACGGACTCCACTGAGAATGCACCGGGCTTGATGAACAGGTACCAGTACGCCCCACCAGCCCAAATCAGGACGCACACCAAGAAAACCAGCAGCCACATCCTGAAAAACTGAAAAAAGCCTTAGATGTAAAGAGATCTACTGAAATCTTGAGTTTGCCTTAAACTATTGCCAACAGGAAGGCTAAAGGAGCTCAGATGGAGAAGGAAAGAACATGAGAATATAGTCTTCCTCAAGGACGTTCGCTGAAAGTGTTCTTTTATATGCAAGCCAGGAGCAAAGGTCTCAGCTATTTAGGTTATGATGCAACATTTAAGTAGGCCATCATACAAAACGGACCACGACTCACAAGTGATAATATTACCAAGAGTGGTAATATTAAATAACAAGCTTTAGTCCACATACAGATCCAAAGCAATCCTCTTTACATTTATGTTAGTGACAATGAATGTTCACTTTGTTTCAGAATCAATGATCCCATTAAGTATTTGCACCACTTATTATTAAGCACATGTTTTCTTCTATTACACAGGCACACTCAAAAACAAAAGAAAAATGTTACAGATGAATAGATGAAAAGGAATTGCTGTTATTTATACCATGGTCTGGGTGAATACTCGATTCTGATTGGCTGCAGGGTGTCCGTTAAAAAGTGATAGAGGACACCTAGTAAAGTAGTTCTGGTGAAACTGCCTGTTTACCATTCGAAATTAATAAATAAATGCGCTGCCTACAACGGCTGTGAGTAACCATAGCAACAGGCAGTCACATGCTAACGTTCTATCTAATCATCTAACGTTATGATATTATAGCCTAATACAACAATGAGCGACTTCGTGCTATTTCTTTTAACATTTATGGAGAATATGGCAACTTTGACGACTGGTATGCTGCTGAAGAAAGAAAAAATGTAAATAAAACGGAGGAAATTACACCGCTGCTGCGCTGCTCCATTGAACTCTATTGGTAACGACGTAACTTGCGACCATAGTTGGATAACACGATGCTTTCGGGAAACGCACCCCTGAATGAGACCCTGCGGGAGTTTTACGCAGCTGTCCAGACAACCAAGGCAGGAGAAGGCTGAACGTTACAGCGTTTCAAGCCTAAGGAGCCTGAGGCAAATGACCCTCTCTTTGATCTGATTAATTTTTGCCCTCTATAACGTTAAGCGCAAATCGCTGGAGCTCAGAGCTAATTGTTTTTTTATTGTTGTTTGATTAATTGTTTTATGTGTAATAAAAAAAAAAACTATGCCTACCTTTGTGTTTCATGAAAAAAAAATGCATTTGTGAACCTGAAGGGATACGAGCTAAGCGGACTATAAATATCTCCGGTTGCTAGATAAACAGTCAGTCAAGTTATTATTTGTAAAAACTAGATTTAGCCTAATTAAAATATAAACTAATGTTTTATTTGGCAAGTGACCATGGTATAAGCGGGTTAATGCCCTCCGAGGTGTCCATTGTCAGGTTTTAATGGACTTCGGCGGAGGCAACCGTCCTCCGCTGCGCGTCGGCCGGTTTACGCCTCGCCGTCGTCCATTAAAACCTGACAATGGACACCTCGTCGGGCATTAACCCTTACGTCCCACACTGTAAAAAAATATTGATGGTTTAACTTAAAAAAGTAAGTAACCTGGTTACCTTAAAATTTTAAGTTCATTGAACTGGAAAAGAATGATTTAATCATAAGAAACTCAAAATTATATGTTATCTGAACTAAATAAATTATTTAAGTTGATTTGACAAAAGAAAAAATGTTGTGATTACTACACTGTAAAAAAAATATTGTTGGTTTAACTTTAAAAAAAGTAAGTAACCTGGTTGCCTTAAAATTTTAAGTTGATTGAACTTAATTAATACAATGAAGTTAATACAATGAAGGAGATTGATTTAATCATCAGAAACTCAAAATAATAAAATATCTCAACTAAATAAATTATTATAAAGTTGATTTGACAAAAGAAAATATGCTGTGATAACAAATCTTGAAAATATTTTTTTACAGTTAAGTCTCAATCAGATTTATAGGTAATGAACATAATCGAGCTATAACATTTTTCATTTATTTACAGCTGAAATGTTGCTCTTATAAGTAACAAGAAAAGTATTTATCATAATGTATTTCAAATAACATTAAAAAAAAATAGTTTCAGAAATACATCAGTTCTGCTTTTGTCCATATATACCAGTAATGATGTCATCAGTGTTTTAATGTGTAGTTGTCATTTTAAAAAAATGGCTCAGAAAAGTGCAATAATAGTGGGTTTATTGTATGACTTGAAATATTACATATTAAATAGTTTTGAATACACATGATGAAAACATATACATCCTACATCTGAGGAAAAAGATATCATGAAAGTTGGTTTTCTTTTGAAATCATTCCTCATAGCCTACTCAAAAATATTAATTGGGAGCAAATTTGTGAATAAAAAGTGTTTTTCTGCCCAATTAAAGTGGCACCTCTGTAGAAAAATGTGGTCATCGTCCAGCTCACTTCAGTTCTCATCCAATAGTGTCAGTACAGTTAAATTGACACGCTGTGGTTTCATATATATATATATAATATATACACACACTGTAAAAATATTGATGGTCTAACTTAAAAAAGTAAGTAACCTGGTTGCCTTAAAATTTGTTGATTGAACTGGAAAAAGTGAGTTAATACAATGAAGGAGATTGATTTAATCATCAGAAACTCAAAATTCTATGTTATCTGAACTAAATAAATTATTTAAGTTGATTTGACAAAAGGAAAAATGTTGTGATTACTACACTGTAAAAAAATATTGTTGGTTTAAATAAAAAAAAAAGTAAGTAACCTGGTTGCCTTAAAATTTTAAGTTGATTGAACTGGAAAAAGTGAGTTAATACAAAGAAGGAGATTAATTTAATCATCAGAAACTCAAAATAATAAAATATCTCAACTAAATAAATTATTATAAAGTTGATTTGACAAAAGAAAATATGTTGTGATAACAAATCTTGAAAATAATTTTTACAGTGCACTCTAAAAAATGCAGGGTTAAAAAATAACCCAACCTTAACCACGCCGCTGCACTGTAAAAAAATATTTTCAAGATTTGTTATCACAACATATTTTCTTTCGTCAAATCAACTTTATAATAATTTATGCATGTATGTTGTGTATGCACAATGTGTATGCACAATTTATGTATGTATGTTATGCACAACCTTACAGTGTGGGTCACTATAGGACCGAACACGCTCTGGGTTGGTTTGACCCAAGTGCTGGGTTTTTCCATTTAACCCATGTTGTTGGGTCATTCATTTTACCCAACCAGTGGGTGAAATTGACCATATATGACCATATTAAACTGCATATTTCAAAGAATAAACCAGTTGCTGGGTCAAAATAACCCAACCAGCTGTTTATTTGTGAATTACCCCCTTACAAATCATGTGACCCAGCACAATCAACCCAACAATTTGTTTACAGAAACAACCCAGCATTTTTTTTTTGAGTGTACAAGGAATCACTAGAGGCTAAACGAGATAATTAAGGGCAAATGAGCACAAATAAAAAACCATGGCAACAGAAGAAAACATACTCTATAAAATGCTGGGTTGTTTCAACCCAAATTTGGGTCAAATATGGATGAATCCAGCCATTGGGTTATATTTTATTAAAAAAAAAAAAAAATTGAACCCAACATATGGGTTTGTCCATATTTGACCCAAATTTGGGTTGAAACAACCTAGCATTTTTTTCAGAATGCAGGAAACTGAACTGAGAACAGTGAAATCTAACTGAGAGGCCGTTTACACAACACTGTTTTCAACTAAAAACGGAAGATCTTTTATGTGTTTTGCGCATTTATTTACACGTCAACAGTGTTTTGGCAGTCTGAAAACACAAACTTTTAAAAAAGGGTTTCAAAGTGCAAGTTTTTGAAAACAAGACCGTTATCTTATGTGTAAACTACAAAAATGGATTTGTGAGAAGTCATGCGCCTGCGTCATACAGATCAAACCGCTGAATATTAAATGTTGCTATGCCTATAAACACTAAAACAACATTATTGTTGCCTGAAAAATCGATCACTATAAGCACCTTAAATCAGCACAGGTGATTCATTAACTTTATGATATAGAAAACTTCAGCACATGCTTTATCTTTATGTCTTTGAGTTTTCATCTTGTTAAATTAAGCAACAGTGTGGAAATGGATTCTTTGCGTATCGTGACCATATAAGGTAATTAAGATAAGACTAAATTGTGAAAAAAACATCTTTGTACCTGCGCCGTGTTTATCTATATGACTTTATGACAGGCATTTGTCGATAAGATTTGCCAGCCCTAATTAAACTGCAAGTCAGACTGCTTGATTTTTACATGAATGCAACTGCGTAACTATTAATATTATTATAAAATAACTAATAGACATCTATATCTGCCTTCCCCTAAGTATTCCTTTCTTGGCACATTTTTTTTAAATAAAAAATCTTAATGAACCATTGAATATTTTAATATAAATATATTAATATTAAATATTTGTATATATTTTTTTATGGTAAAGTCCCTTCTGAAAAAGCAGTTCATTTTAGCACACTGTTGAGCTTTGCAAAAGTATTCATGCCCCAAAAGTATTTATCCCCCCACCCCACATAAATACATTAAATCTATGACAAAGCAAAAAAACTGCTTTGAGATCACTTTGATTTGCAGAGAAAATGGGTGAAAAATGCAGATTTCCCAAATCTAAAACAAGACAACTTTTTAAAGACCGTATTAAAGATATATATATATATATATATATATTAAGACTATATTATTTGAATTATCTTTTAAGACAAGGTAAAAGTTATACTGTAAACTTATGTAATTTGGCTATAATGTGCAAAAGCTCTTTTCCCACGACTCTTTAAACCAGTTTTAGGAATTTGGAGTTAAATATTATCCTTAGATTTTAGGCTCCTCAAGGGATTATGGGGATGAAGTAATTAGGTCACACAGTGTTCAATTATAAACAAGCATGAGAATTTCGAACTCAATTATGCAATGAACAATATTCCAGTGTAAGGATTTCCGAAGGAGTTTTACATGAGGAGCTTTTCTTTCTTTTTTTACATCCCTTCAGGATTCTCACGGTGCATTTTGATTCACTTATGGTGAAAATTTGAGAGGGAGTTCCAGTAATACTGCAGAGACATAATTAAAGTGTGGATCGCAACCAGAATAAATGAATAAACAAAAATAAGATAGAACCTATCACAGAGCTAATTTGTGTTAAATTCTAGACAACTGTCTACTACGGAAGCCCGGAACCGCAACGTAAAAGAATAGAAAAAGTTTGAAAAAATTCGAAAAATTAAATAAAAAATCTTGCATTTCGAGAATAAAGTCGAAACATTTTGAGATTAAAGTCGAACATTTCGAGATTAAAGTCGAAACATTTCGAGAATAAAGTCGAAACATTTCGAGAATAAAGTCGAAACATTTCGAGAATAAAGTCGAAACATTTCGAGAATAAAGTCGAAACATTACGAGATTAAAGTCGAAACATTTCGAGAATAAAGTCGAAACATTTCAAGATTAAAGTCGAAACATTTCGAGATTAAAGTCGAAACATTTCGAGATTAAAGTCGAAACATTTCGAGATTAAAGTCGGAACATTTCGAGATTAAAGTCGGAACATTTCGAGATTAAAGTCGAAACATTTCGAGAATAAAGTCGAAACATTTCGAGATTAAAGTCGAAACATTTCGAGAATAAAGTCGAAACATTTCGAGAATAAAGTCGAAACATTTCGAGAATAAAGTCGAAACATTTCGAGAATAAAGTCGGAACATTTCGAGATTAAAGTCGAAACATTTCGAGAATAAAGTCGAAACATTTCGAGAATAAAGTCGAAACATTTCGAGATTAAAGTCGAAACATTTCGAGATTAAAGTCGAAACATTTCGAGAATAAAGACGAAACATTTCGAGATTAAAGTCGGAACATTTCGAGATTAAAGTCGAAACATTTTGAGAGTACCAGATTACAAAGATTACAGTCTTCCGTAGAAGCTGCGGTGTGTGCTTGCCATTGTTTCAAATTGCCGCACACACAGGCATTAATAATGTGGCATAGCGAGTGTTTCACACTGTGTGTATGTGTATGTGCATTTGTGTTTTGTTTCAACAAAAGGAAATTCAACAGGTGCCAATCTACCAGCATTAGGCTACCATTATAGGACGTTATAAAATATACTGCGCCGGAATAGACTTTAGCCTATAGGAAAACCAACCTGGAAAACACTTTTCAGACTGATGGAGATATCCAGCTTTATCAATGAATGAAAGAGGCCTTTCTATAGTGCTTTCATATGTCTACTAGGTCTACACTCAAAGCGTTTTACGTTATCATAACAGAGACTTAAATTTCGAAACATTTCGACTTTTTTTTCAGGGCTTCCGTAGTCTACGACATAATGAATGTAGTGGAAAAAACTGGGGTATTTCTCTCAAATATTGTTCACAAATCTGTCTAAATCTTGCTCAATGGGTTACATATCCGGTGAGTATGCTAAACTTGTACGTCGTGTATTTTAAATATGTACTAATTTGTAATGATGTTAATAATAATTCAGTATATTTAAAATATATTTACTTAATTTGTATGAAAGTAGACACATCAAAACAGTGCAATTCTTTAAAGCAGACAAACCAATTAAAATGTACTTTAAAATAAAACTTAATTTGACATTGTTGCACTTTTTTTTTAAATGAAAGATGTCACTTTTATGGCACTAATATTATACGCAATCAAAGTTTTTTAAAATTATGCTTTGAAGAGTTGAAGTAAAAGTGCACATGCAATCCACTGAAAGGGTTAGTTGACCAAAAAATGAAAAAGTATCCCAAAATGTATTCACCCTCAACCACAATCAGAGTTATATTAAAACATATCCTGGCTCTTCCAAGCTTTATAATGGGAGTGAATGGCAACACGGATTTTAAAGTGCATCCATCCAGGGGGTTAATAAAGGCCTTCTGAAGCAAAGCCATGCATTTTTGTAAAAAAAAAAAAAATAGCTTTAAAAATTCTTGTTTTGTTTGGTTCCCAAAACAAAACAAGCTCCATATAATGGACTTCAATGGGAACCAAACAGTTCAAGGTCCAAAAGACAGTTTCAGTGCAGCTTCAAAAGGCTTTAAACGACACCAGACAATGAATAAGGGTCTTATCAAGCCAAACGATTGCTCATTTAAAAAACAAAAAAACAACAAAGAAAACCCCAAAGTTTAAGTTTTATAAGCTCAATGTTCACCTTGCTCTGTTCTGTGATGCGGGTTCATGACTCTCCTGTTCGAACTCGTTCATCAAAATGAACTAATCTTTTTTCGAGTCATTTGGTTCATTCAACGAACGAAATGAATGAATTGACTCGTTCATTTTGATGAACGAGTTCGAACAGGAGAGTCACACAGAACATAGCAAGGCAAGGCGAGCATTTGTGCTTATAAAACTTAAACTTTGTTATTTTTTTTTTTTAAATGAGTGATCATTTCGCTTGATAAGACCCTTATTCATCGTCTGGAATTGTTTAAAGCCCTTTGAACAGTTTGCACTGAAACGGACTTTTGGACCTTGAACTGTTTGGTTCCCATTGAAGTCCATTATATGGAGAAAATCCTGGAATGTTTTCATCAAAAACCTTAATTTCTTTTCGACTGAAGAAAGAAAGACGTGGACATCTTAGATGACATGGGGGTGAGTAAATTATCAGCAAAAGTTTTTTTTTTTAAAGTGAACTACTCCTTTAACCCCCTGGAGACGGTTAGAGTACTTTTATGATGTGCTCTTTTGGGCTTCAAAATCTAAGGTACCATTACCTCTCATTATAGAAGAGCTTCAGATGTGCCGTCTAAACCCAGTGAAACCCATTCAAAATCAAAATAAAGTACCTTGTTGTTGTGTTTTTGCTCACACACAAGAGCTACAGTTCATCCAAATTACCAGCTCAGTATTTAAATAGGAGAGAGAGAAAGAGAGAGAGAGAGAGGGGCAGTGGAAAAGGAGCTTACAGGATGAAAAGCTCAAGATGAGGATCAGAGAATGAGCTTAAGGTTCTGGAAGCAGCTGCTCTTCAGCGGGACAGAGAGACCTGACACCCACATCCCATTATCACAGCAGCCAATGACACACACCAGCAACTGATTCAATCTTCCTGCAGAGCTTTACGCATACAGAGAGCGCTAATGCAAGACAACACACGCTTTTTAAATACCTTCTTCAGATGCAAATCACTCAGGAGGAAGTTACCGTTGCACAAAAAGACAAAACAGAAGTCATACTGGTTTAACAAGACCTGATAATGAGTAAATGATGACAGAATTTTCATTTTGGGGTGAACGATCCCTTTAAAGTCCATTTATAGGCTGAGGATACGGAAATTGGAACCAGTAAGACACTTGCCTAGATTGCTAATGAGTTTATTTTAAAAACAGACAGAAAACATCATATCATAAAAGGTATTGAATGACATGAGGGGGTCCTCTTAAATGTACTAAAATAAACTAGTGGATGTTAAACAATTCAGAAAGTACAAATAAACTTTCATACAAAAGCAGATGTTGAAGCGAGCCCTGGTGACCCCGGGGCCGCTGCTACGTGATAATGCAGCCTCCCTTCTCCTTGAATGGGTTCTTGTCCTCAGGGACGCCCTTGACCAGGGGGTCTTCGGCAGACTTCTCCTCAACGAAAGCAATGATTTCTGGGGCTGAGGCTGAAACCTGAGAAAAATAATCAGGATATATGGTTCAAGGATGATTGTTTCTTTAAATTGCCACTCCAATTGGAATTAACTAAGCAAGTACGTAACCAAACAGAGGATCGATCAGCAAATGCTGACTGAGGGGCCATGGACCTTATTCACAGCAGCACCATCTTTGATTTTTAATCACATCTGGGCCCAGTTGCCAATAAACCCATGCCATTATGTAAGACAGTGTCTGAGCTATGACCCAATAGCAGTAAGGATGGTTAGTCTAACTTTTGGGTATCAAATTATGCAAATGTATGTTTTTATGTAACTGACATAAAAAAAGTGAACATTTTAAAGAAAAATCTAGATGACAAACTTGTAAGACTAGTCTAAGTGGTTTATGCAACCGGCTATGCTTGGAATCCACATGTGGCCCCGCATTTGGCCGACACTATGTTGCTGTCTGGGTTATTTAAAAAAATATCTTTCTCAGAAATTTCAGTAGACAAAAACATTCCAGGCAACATGAGCTTTAAAAAAATGATTAGTGATCTAGAAGCTTTGAATTCTGACTTTATAACGTACGCAATTGTTCTTGCAACACGCAATTCTGAGGGAAAAAAGTCCGAATTGTGAGATGTAAACTCGCATTTGTAAGATTAAAAAGTCAAAATAATCTTTTAAAATGTTTTATTCTGTGGCGGAAACAAGCTTCCGTATTATTATCCAGCTTTTTACAGCGAATGTCATTGGAAACACGGTAAGTCTATCCCGTCCCGTCTATCCTTCCTCACAACCCTCGCATTCCTGTCATGGCGCTGCTCTCAATAAGGTCTGTTCACACGCTTTTTTTTTAGTTCGCGGTTAAAAACGCGAGACGCGTGTGAGCGGCGCGGGAAAACCGCGATTTAATATTTAAAATCTTAAATTCTTAAAATCTAAACTTTTTAATATTTTTACCGCAATTCGGGGAGTGTTCACTTCCACCTTCAGCTGATCCAGCTCCATCTTCAGGATGTCTTTATCTGTCATATCCCGAGCCATCCTGTGTGAAATTAAGCTCAATATCCACATCGAAAAAGTCTCATGAACAATGCTAAAACTAAAAATAATTAAAACAATATTTGTTGGTTGATTCAGTAATAACAGTTCATTTAAATGTTAAAAAAATTCAGTGTGCTAAAATTAAGCTACATAATGTAAAAAAACAAATATGAAGATCCACAGAGAATCCCAGAAAAATGCACTTAGTGCGATTAAAACACATGAAAATGCTTATAGGTGTATTTTTTTATTTGTATAAAGCTTATCGGCTGTATATCAGCTTTAAAAAAATTCCATAACTTGAAATATATATATGCCAAAAAGTGCATTTATTAAAAGAATTCTCAAATGGCTGCTATGTTAAAAAAACAAACAAGCAAACAAAACAATCAGTCCTGGTGGGTTCAGTAAAACTGATTTCTCACTTGACAGTTCTGACAATTAAACATTTGATTTATTCTGACCAAAAATAAAGAAATAAAAGTAAAAATAATCCATTTACCTGTTGAACGGGGCGCCGGGCAGCAGTCGGAGAAATGTCCTGATGTCTCCTAAGAGATCATCAGTGTGGAGATCTTCCTCGAGTCTGTGGATCTCAGGCTCTTCTCGTCTATTTCTGCTGTTCGGACCCCCTCCTTCCCTTTACTCTTTCTCAGGTGTAGAGATTGATCCTGGGCATGGGGATTGCGCTCTGATGTCGTCAATCTCCACTGATCTCATTAGGCCAATGAGAGCAAGGATGGCCATGAGAAGTAACCTCTAAACAACATTGAAATACTGGAGGAAAGGGCAGCATGTGAAAAATGAAGCATTGATGGAATTACTGTCAATTCCGTTGGCGTTGTTAACCAATAACATAGGCTACTTCTACTACTAAGGATCAATGCGAACTTTGGAATAGAAAGAGCTCAAAGTGAGCATTGGTTGAACATAATCAGACAGAAGTAGTGAATTGGTTTCCAAAGTGAAATGCTCTGTGAAGCAGTCATTAATAAAAGCTCCATTAATAGCCAAGCATAATAAATACTGAGTCGTACACTACCGTTCAAAAGTTAGGGGTCAATATATTGTATATATTTAAAGAAATGAATACTTTTATTCAGCAAAGATGCATTAAGTAGGCTAACAGTAATTGCTTTTTGTAATAATTGTTTATTGTTTTTAACTTTATTCAGTAAAGAATCCTGGGGAAAAGTCTTATCAGATCCACAAAATGCTAACATGCTAAATCCGGTTATCAACATAGGCTACTTGAGAGCATTATGCTTAAACATGCTAGCAATGTGCTAAATCATACTAGAAACATGTTATCATGCAAGAAACATAGAAATTTGAAATTTATTGTAGGCCTATTGTACTGAAATTTATTTAAGTAGAGATTTGTTTTCATTGTGCTGATGCATGATAGAAACCTGCTATCACGGTAAAGCATGTTAACAATGTGTTTCTAAATCACTTTAGAAACAGGTTAACAGTGTTAAATCCTGGTAGAAACATATTAGCACCATGCTAAATCATGCTATAAACATGCTACCAACATGTTAACAATGTGTTAAATCATGTTACCAACATACTATGTCATGCTAGCCTAATGCTAAATGCTAAGGTGTGCTAAATCAGAAACATGGAAACAATGATGCTAAAACATGCTAGCAATGTGTTAAATAATGCTAGAAACATGCTAGCAATGTGTTAAATTTGGTATTGTGCTAGACTTTCTCGAAGTTTGTCTTCTTGACAAGTGCATTAACCAGTTGAACTTTTGTTTACACTCAGTCATGAAATAATGAAACGCAGTCTTGAGCTCTCTAGATCCCAAACAGAACATGAGGGTTGAACTCATTATCTTAGATCCAGTGTCAAAGAGTGTCCCTGGGATTTTTGACCATCAGCCATTGGCATCAGTGCCTAATAAACTGCTCAGCGCAGGATTACTATTACTGCGATCTGCTTAATAACGGCAATGCTTTCAACCATCGGCCATGTTGGAAAAACAAGACCGTTATCTGATGACTGAGAGTGTTTCGGGGCCAACAAATCACTTTTAAAAAGCTTTTTTGGATAGTTTTGGATATAAAAAACAATGAGTAAAATGTACTTAATTTTTTTAAGGCAAGTTTTTGCACTGATAGAATTAAAGGAGTAGTTCACTTTAAAAAAAAAAAAAAACGTTTGCTGATAAGTTACTCACCCTCATGTCATCCAAGATGTCCACGTCTTTCTTCCTTCAGTTGAAAAAAAAAAAAAAAAAAGGTTTTTGATGAAAACATTCCAGGATTTTCTCCATATAGTGGACTTCAATGGGAACCAAACAGTTCAAGGTCCAAATGAGAGTTTCAGTGCAGCTTCAAAGGGCTTTAAACGACACCAGACGATGAATAAGGGTCTTATCTAGGATCCTTTCGAGTCATGACTCGAAAAAAGATTTGTTCATTTTGATGAACGAGTTCGAACAGGAGAGTCACCAACGCTCATCACAGAACAGAGCAAGACAAGCATTTGTGCTTATAAAACTTAAACTTTGTTTTTTTATGACCAATCGTTTCGCTAGATAAGACCCTTATTCATCATCTGGTGTCGTTTAAAGCCCTATAAAGCTGCACTGAAACTCTCATTTGGACCTTGAACCGTTTGGTTCCCATTGAAGTCCATTATATGGGGAAAATCCAAAATCAAAAACCTTAATTTCTTTTCGACTGAAGAAAGAAAGACATGGACATCTCGGATGGGGATGGGGGTGAGTACATTTAAGTGAACTACTCCTTTAAGTAAACTATACTTAACTAAGTTAAGTGTAAGTAACATAAGAAATTAAGTAATTTTTATTTAGCTAATTAAAGGTTAAGTAATATCTATGCTATTTAATTTAATTTTTCTCTGTACAACATTTCACTCAAACAACATAACATTGAATTAGTCCACACTTTATTAAGAATATGATTTACTCAGAAATGTTACTCAAAATCAATACATGTCATCACATCTTCATTTCTGAAATTGTATGTGTGAACGCAGACCCCAAAACTTATAGACAATACACAATATCGGTAACATTTGATCGTTTTAGCGTTTGAATGTGTCATTTTAAGTACAAAATGAACTCCAAATGCAAAAATAACATCAAAAGCAATGATAAAATAGTGTAAATATGAAAAACAGTGAAAAATAAACCTCATTAATTATTCATGGCCCAGTGCATGATGGGAACACCAGTATCAGAAAAGTTAATTTTATAATGTTGCGCTTTCATTTCTACACGATTGAATTGAGCACTACTATAGAATTTACTTATTTTAATTCTTGCCTGAACTAACTTTTTTCATGTAAATTACATTTTTTTTCTTGCTGTAGTATTTACTTCACCACAAAATCATTTTTATCATGGTAATGGAGGAAAACATTTCCAGAGAAGTGAGCCAGACCTGAGCGGGACTGAATTCACACTAATTAGAGTTGTAATGTTTTTCAACTCACACACATCTTCGCAGTTGGGTGTGTATTGAACTTCTGAATAAGCTTGTTGTGGCTCTGGCTTCCCCTGTAAGCCTGAGGATCTGGCTTAGGCCCCCTTTGCCCTGAATTAGCAAGAGGGACATTGAAGCCTTGATTCGTGACGAGTGACTTTATGACGAGGAGCTTTATTGCTCTTTAATATGGCATTATTGAGACGTTATATATTAGCACTACACTTTCATTAAAAGCATATCAGATTTCATTGTGAATTAGGTAATGCATTAAGGAATACTTCAGCAAAAAAAAATTACAATTGTCATTTACTCACCCTTAAGTTGAGTATTGCGTTTCTTTTTTTCTGTTGAACACAAAGGGAGATATTTTGAGGAAACAGTTGTTGGTCCCCATTGACTTTCATAGAAAAAAAAAAAAAAAAAACTATGCAAGTTTTCTAGCAATTTCTGAATAAAAATAGTTTCAAAGTAAATCCTCTACCATTTTTTTTCAGAGTAGGAAGAAAAAGTAATAATTGTTCTGTTTGTATATTCTATACAACCTTATATTAATAAATATTCAATGAATGTCGAATTGTTCCCTAAAGCCAGTTAGACAAGTGGTGACAAATAACTTATCGTTTCTAAGAGACTGCCACACGCTAAAGCTTTAGTAATTGAGCTAAGACTAATCAAGCACCAAGGAGGATTATGGGTCATAGATATCAGGAGCTGTCACTCTCTCAGAACCAGGTCACCTTACTTTTCTTTTAAAATGATCTTTGACTAGTTTTATGAGTCAATACAATGAATACAAACAGTGTTCTTAAAAAAAACATTATTAGAGTTCATAAGATTCTGTATAGTATTTTGTATTATATGTGGTGTCAGTTAATTAAGGCTTAATCAGTTATTAAACACACTTAATCTGGATAAGCCAATATGACACTTCTATGCGCACTGTTGTTGCATTTTTATCTGGTAAACACAAGATGGCACTAAAAACACATTTTAACTTATCCAACTGTGCAAGTGAGTCATAATAATGATAGAAATAAAATGTGTATCCAAAAGGTCAATGTTTATGATGATTTCATTCATTAGTTGTTCTTTAAATTCATGTATTCATAGTCTACTTCATTATCCTTTAAGAATTTACTTCTTATTGTAGCCTATACTTATTTGTTTTTTCCACCCAATTTAATTTTTGTTCATGTAGTATTATCCAAGAATATGTGTATTGTGTTCACATGTTCACATCTTAAGTTACTGTGTTTTGTTAGATGTTACAATAATAATAATAATAATAATAACAATAATGTTTGTTGTTTTTGTTATTAATTCAAGGTTAACTTTTTCAGGGAATCTTTTTCAATTAAATGAATCATTTAAAAAAATATAAATTTGGCAGTGTCATATTTATGTAACCTTAATTTTTTAGATATTCATTATATATTTCATTATATTGAAATACTCAATGTTCAGTAAATGAATCAGTTAATCTATAAAAATATATATTTGAATGCAGCTTAATGGGGAATTCGGCTACTTTACGCCCTCTGGAGGAAAACTACTCTGTTCATACAATAAATAGTTACTATCGAGCAGCAAGCGTTCACTTTTTTTCCCCCAACAAAATTCCTGAACGGCGTAACGATGAACAGTCCGAGTCATTTCCGCGAATCGGTTCTTTACAAAGAAACGGTTCAAATAAATGATTCATTATTCTTTTACGACATGACGTAGTTACGTCCTTGCTGCAGCCACCAGGAAATCGGAGAAAAGGAAAAGAAAGGAATATTGAGCTTTATATATATATAATTTTAAAATATATATATTACTTGATTTTTTTCTTCCTCTCTCCCGTTGTTGTTGTTCCTGTTTATTTGTTTGAACTTGTTTCAATACATGTGATATTTGTCATGTGAAGCGTTCCTGTTACAGGTATATGTCGAATTTTGTAATTGGATTTATTTGTCAATAAAAAATAAAATAATAATAATTAAAAAAAAAACAATCAAACCTACAAAAAAAAAGGAAAGCAGAGAAAAGAAATTATTACTATCTTGTTATCTTGTTATCTTGTTATTGTTACGATCATCTATGAGATGTATCTTTATTGAATGGAAAAGTGTGGTTATTAGGCCCCATAGGTTTCAAATTAGAAATAAGGTTACAGAAATCTCCATTAACTTTGACACAGATTGTATCCAGTAATCTAAATCACTATTTACAGAAATGAAAAAAGGTATAAATATAAACTTTTTGTAATAACTATCATGAAACTCCTGAAAAAAAAAAAAAGAAACTACTATGCATTTATTTTGACACTATATAATTATATAGTGGCTTGAGCCTATCACACATATTCAGTATTCAAGACCTCCCTCAGTTTTATGGGAAAATGTAGGTCTACGAAAAAAAGAAAATAAAAATCAGCACATGAAAAGTTTTCAGATTTAACAATACTACACTTCATTCTTCAACTTGTAGTTCTTATTTCCACGAAGCGTTCCTGATTCAGTCAAAAGACTCGACTCACATGAACGATTCGTTCACGATCCCTAGGAAGTAGATGATACTTCCGCCATCCTGAGCCATGGCTGCTGCAACCCGCAAAAAAGCACTGAGATTTTTCTCGCAGTTCGGAGCCTTTATTCTGACTCGGTTCGGGTTCTGGAACAGTTTCAGCATGTTGATGCTGTTTGCGGAGCGCGCGGATGTGAAACGGTACGTAGGAAAGCTCAACAGAAGGCTTGCAGGGGCACAGTGTAAACACATGTGACATGCAGTAATTCAACAAAAGAATATGCGATGAAGTGCTTGTGCTTAAACTGGATAGATGCCTAAACGGCTGTTTGCAATGCTATTAAGTTTCATTCAAAGAATTGACAAAACCAACCATCCATATTCCAAATAAAGTTGGCAAGTCTTAAATGTAGCTAGAGGCATATATTCATTCATTCCCTTAAAATGTGCTCATTTCTTCATTTTTTAGGAAGCCAGACATCCAGGTGCCTTACCTGTACATAGACTTAGGAGCTGCGGTGTTGTGTGCCAGCTTCATGTCCTTCGGGGTGAAGAGAAGATGGTTCGCTCTGGCTGCTGCCGTTCACCTGGTCCTCAGCACATACGTGTCCTATGTGGGTGGACAGGTCCATTATGGAGACTGGTTGAAGGTAAATAGAGAACTTATTTTTGTGCAACCTTTCCTGTTTCTAGTGAGACCAAAAAATAATTGTATGCAGCAGTGATGATGATGCGTTTTTGTAAGCCAACCCTTAAAGGGATAGTTCACACAAAAATTAAAGTTCTCTAATTAATTACTCACCCTCGTTAGGCTCTTCGTTCATCTTCAGAACACAAATAAAGATCTTTTTAAGGAAATCCGAGAGCTTTCTGTCGCTCCATTGACAATTACCACTTCCATTTTTGTGTTAACTATCCCTTTAAGTCTTTTAACTCAACATTTTTCATCGGCTTTTGGATTCAAAATGTATGATTCTTATGTTTTGTTCCTCATGATCATCTTCACCAATGAACACAGCTTTCATGCATTTTGAGGCTTAAAAACAACTACAGTATATAAATACATTAGCACTAAATAGCTAAAAGTGGGCTATAAACACTATAAACCAGTGTTGTAGTACTCGAGATTAGGACTCGGCTCGGACTCGGTCTCGAGACCATATTTTAATGGTCTTGGTCTTGTCATGGACTCGTGTCCATTTGGACTCGGAATTAACTCGTACTCGAACATTTTTTTTTTTAGGACTCTGAATTATTCCCGAGTCCACTCGAGTTCAATTAAAAATATTTTTCATGATTATTAATGTATGTGAATAAAATATTTCTTTAAATTGATTGACACGCCCAGTGATTGGTGATTTTCTAGTGCGCAACTGTGCATGACAAATTGTAATAAAATTACTTTTAACACCACCTACTATGTGGCCGTTTTACTCTAAACTGATCATATTTTTTAAACTCTAAGTAAATTCAGTAAAAAAAAGGATTTCTCTAAGTAAATAAAAGTAAATTAGGTAATCAACCCTCACTGGGTCTCGGTCTCGACTCGGACTCGACCGTCTCTGGTCTCGGTGTCGACTCGGACTCGAGTGAGGTGGTCTCGACTACAACACTGCTATAAACTACAACACCACAGTCACATGACTTCAATGTCACCATCATTAAGCTTCCCATATCTCTTTAAGTCTTTATTGAAAAAAGTTTTCCCTGAAAGTTTGAGTTAGTTTAGTTTGAAAGAGCGCGATGAGGCTGTGAAAGCATCTAGTGAGTAGATGAGTTTACATGTTCGACAACCTTATAGAATATAAACCTCTGTTAAAAAAAGAATCACTGGTAACACTTTACAATAAGGTTCGTTAGTTAACATTAGTCACCTACATTAGTTAATATGAACTAATAATGAATAGCACATATACAGCATTTGTTAATCTTTGTTAATGTAATTTTCAACATTTACTAATACTTGATTTAAATCTTGTTTACATTAGTTAATGCACCATGAACAAACAATGAACAGCTGTATTTTCATGAACTAACATTAACAAAGATGAACAAATGCAGTAACAAATGTATTGCTCATGGTTAGTGCATGTTAGTAAATACATTAACTAATGAACCTTATTGTAAAGTGTTACCGAATCACTATTGGGGTATTACTGATGTATTTTATGTTGTACAATAAAACGATATATACACCTCTGTTGGTCACAAAAACAAATAGTCCCACCTCAAACCCACCAATGATACTAATATGAAAACGAACCTATGAATTTTTACAAATACATTTTTGTGGATCTTGCCATTTACTTCGTCTCTGACTGCTCATGCAAATCCATCATATCATTAACCATTTGCAATATAGTGCTATATAACAGCAGTAATATCTCTGTGTGAACATAACACAGCAGTCAAAGGAAGGTTTGTTGGAATGTCAATCATCTATCCATTCTGTTTGGAGCATATATGGACAATAGAGATGAATTAGTTTCACTCCTGACCTCCACAGGTGAGGATGTACTCCAGAGCGATGGCCATCATCGGAGGGTTTCTGGTGCTGGCCAGCGGAGCAGGAGAGGTTTACAGACAGAAACCTCGCACACGCTCGCTTCAGTCCACTGGACAGGTCTTCCTGGGGATTTACTTGATCTGCATGGTGAGTTTGTCCACTTGATCACTGTACTGGCCTCAGAAACAGATCAGACTGCGTCATACTTTGTATGCTTGCCTATATGCAAATGTTGTATATATTTTTCTAAATGGAACAAAATATATTTTACAAATGTTTTGTTTCACATCAGGATTTTATGGCTCATATAGTATGATGAGAATGTGAAGCTCAAACTAACTTCATTCAGTAGTTCAAACGGAGAATAAATACGCATTTTGGTGCAGATATTATTTATATGGCTAAAATGTAAGATGAAATTCTGACAGTTTGTAATGTAAATCAATGAGATCTTTATAACTGTACAACAGACTAAAATGCATAAAAATATCAGTCGTCACTCTAAATCTGCCAATAACGTCTTAGTTAGATGATGTCGACTCGTATCAGCCCATAAATGTTCATCTTGAAATATTACTAACAATATAAGTTATTCTTACATAAGGCCTTTTAAATTGCTGTATCGCTGTTAATATTCCTGATATTCTCATCTCTCCTCCAGGTCTACTCTCTACAGCACAGTAAGGAAGATCGACTGGCCTATCTGGACCACATCCCTGGTGGAGAGATCACGGTCCAGCTGCTGGTGGTTGTGTTCGGTGTGCTTGCGCTCGCCTACCTCTCGGGCTGCTACGTGCGAGAAGCCTCCCAGATCTTGGCAGTTCTGTTACCCTTGGTTGTGCTTTTCATCGATGGCAACATCGGTTATTGGCACCGTACCTGTCACGTGGAGTTCTGGAACCAGATGAAGCTCATCGGGCAGAACATCGGCATCTTCGGAGCGGTGCTTATCCTGGCCACAGACAACTAAAGATACAGGGATATAGGACAACGTCTCTGTACAGGCAGTGCTTAGGACAAACAGAAGGGATCGAGCAAAGAACGCTCAGAAACTGTGTGTACGCTCAAAGGTGCAGCTTGCTCTGGAGTCTCCGATCGCAAGCACAAAGTCTTCAAAAGACGGTTTACAATGCATTTGTTTCCTTTTTAATGCTTTATTTAAAGTTTAAGAACGACTAGAAGTCTTAAAAAAATGCAATTAAAGTTGAAGGATGAATTGTCAGTTTTGGTGTTCTTAAGCGGTATAGTAATGTGGGATTCTTTCCATGTTACAGACATTTAAATGCCACTAATTTTTTTTTGCTGCTTGTATTTAGTTTGCATTTCTTGTACAACTTCTATAAGATCACAATGTCAATAAAAAAAAAATCATTGTTTTGTATGGAACATACAAAATCGTTTGATTATTGGATGGTGTTACGCACCACAAAATTTTATATATATATATATATATTAGGGCTGTCAAACGATTAATCGCATCAAAATAAAAGTTTGTGTTTACATTATATATTTAAGAAAAAAATATATATATATATTAAATTTTTTTTATATAAATCTACATACATGAAAATATTTCTTAAATATATACAAGCATGTGTGTGTGTGTGTATATGTATATATATATATTATATATATATATATTATATATATATATATATATATATATATATATATATATAATAATTATACACAGTGTACCCACATACATTATGTAAACACAAACTTTTATTTTTGGGTTTAGGTTTTTATTATGTTATATAAGTAATATATATATATATATATATATATATATATATATTACATTACTTATATAACCATAAGTAATATATATATTACTTATATATATATATATATATATATATTACTGTGTATATATATATATATACACAGTATACAGTATATATACAATATATATATTAAATATGATCAAACCCAAACGTTGGGTTAAAAACCCAAATGTTGGGTTAAAAATGTAATTACTGGGTTTGTCCATATTTGACCCAAAGTTGGGTTAAAACAACCCAGAAATTAGAGTGTGTGTATATATATTTTCCAATATATTATAAATATATATTTGTACACAATTTTCCTGGTTCTTATTAAGGGTTCTGCATAGAACCTTTTAGGGGTTCCAAATACGTAGCACTGATAGAACCTTTTCAGGTTCTATATAGAACCTTTCCTTCTAAGAGTGTCTAAGAGTCAATTATGATTTCACGTTGAAGCGAGTATGGATATGTGCAACGTGCACAAAAACAAAGACCTGGTCCGATATTGTAAAATACACAAGAAGCTTTTCATCCCTTCTTCATTTGTAAGACACCCAAGGCATTGGTTCGTTTCCTTGCCTTTCCAGGTTCATCTTTTGCTTCTTTCTCTTCCGTTCTGCCATAACCATGGCCGCCACGACAGTGACCATCAGAGTCCCAGTAATGACCAGGACGGTGGCCGTTTCTGCGACACACAGCCGACTGTGGATCAAACCCAGAGAAGCTCCAGCCAGTAAGAGCGGAGAGTGGCATGTGATATTCCCGTAATCATCCACGTGGAGACGCCTGACGCGGAGTATCTTACTGAAAACACGATGCAGATCGCAGTCACACGTCCAAGGGTTCTCCGACATCTGCAGATGCGTGCTGCGCGTCTTAAGGTTTAAGATCGTCCTGAACTTCAGGCTTCTCAACTGGTTGGCTTCTAAGTTCAGTACGGTGAGGGTTCGTAGGGGAGCCAGAGCTTCCACTTCGATCTTGGAGATATTATTGTGGCCCAAAAGAAGAACCCCGAGATCTTGTTGCATGGTCAGCAGTCCTCCTTGGAGAACCGTCAGTTGATTCCATGCCAGGTTAAGGTGCCTTAGCATGGTGAGTCCACGAAATAACCCGACTTCAATGACCTGAATGAGGTTGTGACTGAGATCTAACCTCTCCAGGCTTTCTAGATCCTCCAAGGAGCGCGTCTCAAGACGCTCCAGAGCGTTGTGGCACAGCTTCAGATTTTTTAGTGAGGTCAATCCTTGAGAGAAATCTGAAGGAAGGACACGGAGCTCATTGTAAGCCAGGTCCAGCTTTTCCAGGAAGGTCAGAGAGGAAAGAGCCTGGAACAGAAAGCACAATCAGCTAACAATCCTTTTAAAGGGAAATTTAAAGACCAAAGAGAGAGGCAGAAGAATACATTTTTGAATCACATTTGACTCAATTCTGTAGTCATCGGGGTGTAAAACATCATTATACACTTTCATTGAATGGACAAAACACACAAAAAACTAATTTTGTGGTCCACAGAGGAAAGCTGTGTTTGGAAACATCAGGAAGGAGACTATATAACGACAGAATTTTCATTTTGGAGCGGACTATCCCTTTAAATACACTTAAAAATAAAGGTTTTAAAATATATAATAAAGATTCTTTATTGGCATCTATCTATGGTTTCAAGAACATCACTGGAACGTTTTCCATTGGACAAAAGGTTGCTTATAGTATATTTATACCTTAAAAAAAGGTTTTTATGATTTTCTTCACATGAGAAAAAAAATGGTTCTTTTAAGAACTGTTCACTGAAAGGTTCTTCTGAGGAACCCAAAACAGTTGTTCTAAACTGTAAAATGCACTCTTAGAAGAAATGGTTCTATTTAGAACCAGAAATGGTTCCATCCCCTGCTTCATATATGGAACTCCAAAATGGTTCTATATAGAACCATTTTTTTGGTAAAAGGTTCTATTGGCCATGTATGGAACCCCAGGGTTCTATCTATATAATTTTTTAAGAGTGTATAGAACCTTTTAGGGGTTCCAAATACGTAGCGCTGATAGAACCTTTTAAGGTTCTATAACTTTTTCTTCTAAGAGTGTAGATCTTCCAAAAGGTTTTCATAGAAATGCCATAGAGGAACCATTTTGGTTTCCCCAAAGAACTTTTCAGTGAAAAGTTCCTGAACCATTTTTATCCATTTTCATGCAAAGAACCTTTTTCCTCTATAAAGAACCACATGTGCAATGGAAATTTCCCAGGGATACTTCAAGTAGTTCACTTTTGCTGATAATTTACTCACCCCCATGTCATCCAATATGTCCATGTCTTTCTTTCTTCAGTCGAAAATAAGTTAAGGTTTTTTGTTTTTGATGAAAACATTCCAGGATTTTTCTCCATATAATGGACTTAATTGGGAACCAAACGGTTCAAGGTCCAAATGAGGGTTTCAGTGCAGCTTCAAAGGGCTTTAAACGATTCCAGACGATGAATAAGGGTCTTATCTAGCAAAACGATCACTCATTTAATAAATACAAATTAACAAAGATTACTTTTTATAAGCACAAATGCTCGCCTTGCTCTGTTCTGTACTGAAAGTGTCTTTTGGACCTTGAACCGTTTGGTTCCCATTGAAGTCCATTATATGGAGAAAAATCCTGGAATGTTTTCATCAAAAACCTTAATTTCTTTTCGACTGAAGAAAGAAAGACGTGGATATCTTGGATGACATGGGGGTGAGTAAATTATCAACAAGTTTTTTTTTTTTTTAAAGTGAACTACTCCATTAAGTTCATGCATGTATATGCAAATAAAGCAGCTTAATTTTTAAGAATAATAATTTTTCCGAGTGTGAAGAACATTTTTATAATCTGACAAACCCCTTTCCCACATAAAAACCTTCTGTGCAAATGGAAAGATTTCATAAACTTTAAAAGGTTCTTCATCGGATTATCGATACCAATAGCACATAAGTAGAGACAACCTAAATTAAGCGCACCTGAGAATGAACCACCTGCACGTTGCTTTGTGAAAGCAGAAGGACCCGGAGGACCCATACCCCAGTGAAAGAGGTACTCCTCAACTCCGACAGCTCATTCCCGCTGAGGTCCAGGAGCCACGTGCCATGTGGAATACTGTGGGGAACGTGAGTGAACCCTCGGGATCGACAGTCCACCAGTTCAGATGCTCTGTCACATGAACACTGATGAGGGCAGAGCTTCGAGCCTCCAGCCACTAGGAAGGTGATGGGTAAAAATACGACGCAAAGCATCTTCAACTTGAGCTCATTCACAAAAGATCCACATCAACAAGCGCGCTCGTCTCGCTCGTTCTCAGTGCAGAACCGTCTGGTTGAGCTGAAAAGACATTACATCAACTGTATCTATCATTAATCTTCAAACGGTTTGCATTCTGAGATCTACAAGAATTCGTGGCTTGGCATAAGTCCTCAAATTATCAGCATCAGAATACATCATGTTGTATATGTGGATCAAATTTCCAAGACATTCATTCATGCTTAAAGAATTACAGATCTAATTGTACTTACCAAAAACTGCACAAGTCGGTCTTTGAGAATACGGAGCGACTGGTTGAGTCGAATCATGCCACACTCATATCGATTTCCATTCAAATTCAACTAGATTCCTACTTTAAACCTTCACTCGAAATCTGAACAATACTACATTTAGATGCTTTAATCCAAAGCCTGACATCTGCAGTCTTGGGTCTTGTTCCACTACTAATAAAGAAATTCAAAGCCTCAAAAACATCGTTCAGATTTCTGCACCTGGATGCAGAGCGTCCTGCTTTTGAGTCTCTGTGACTTAATTTACCCTCAAAGCACATTGCATCACTCAAGAAACAAGAGTACTTGCTACACACTGAATATTTCATTGAACTGTCCATCAATGTCTAAGCAGGAAGTGTAGTCTTACAGTTAAGATCAACAGAAACCCCAACAGAGCATCTTACACCATGTTAAATCTTTGACGTGCACACGTCGGTGAGGTGTTTACAGATGGAAACGGGTGTGAATGAAACGTGTTTTAGTAACAGAAATAATCTAACCTTATTCAAGAACAGTCAAGAGCTTTTGACACTACCATAGTAGTGACGAGGAAAGTCGAAACTTTTTTTTATAGTTCATAGCATTGATAAATAAACCATTGAAACTCTATTCGTGTAATTAACCCAAAGGCTGTTGGTAGCTAATGATGTTTAAGATATTTGAGGAGTAAACCTTGCTTAAATTACATGTGCATCTGGAACTACTTTTTACGATTTCTAAAATTACTCCAAAAATGAAAGATTCAACATGTGACAAGAAAAAAGCGTTCTGTTGTACTGGACAGAAACCCATGCAGCATGACTCATCTGGTTAAATAATTTTGGAAAGAAGTACTAGCTCAGAAAATACTCTGAAATCTACACAATAGAAATTGCTATTTGTTTCAAATAACTGTTACAGTCATCACACGGCATGTTTAATTCAAATAGAGCCCAGTTATATCGAAAATAAAACCAGTTGATTGATGATTTTACCATCTTGGAACTGCAACATCAAGCATATTACAACATGGTATACTGGTTTGGCAAATGTAGAAAGTCATTTAGCTATTCCATGTGTACAAAACTATGGAAGCTTGTTTCCACCACAGAACGAAAAATAAAAAAAGGTAATTGCGACTTTTCATCTCACAATTCTGACTTTTTTTTCCCTCACAATTGCATGTTATAAAGTCAAAATTGTGAGAAAGTTAGAATTGCAAGATATAAAGTCAGAATTGCGTGTGATAGTCAGAATTGCGAGATATAAAGTCAGAATTGCGAGATATAAAGTCAGAATTGCGAGATATGAAGTCAAAATTACGAGATATAAAGTCAGAATTGCGAGATATAAAGTCAGATTTGCGAGATATAAAGTCAGAATTGCGAGATATAAAGTTAGAATTGCAAGATATAGTCAGAATTGCGAGATATAAAGTCAAAATTACGAGATATAAAGTCAGAATTGCGAGATATAAAGTCAGAATTGCGAGATAGTCAAAATTGCGAGATATAAAGTCAGAATTGTGAGATATAAAGTCAGAATTGCGAGATATAAAGTCAGATTTGCGAGATATAAAGTCAGAATTGCGAGATAGTCAAAATTGCGAGATATAAAGTCAGAATTGCGAGATATAAAGTCAGAATTGCGAGATAGTCAAAATTGCGAGATATAAAGTCAGAATTGTGAGATATAAAGTCAGAATTGCGAGATATAAAGTCAGATTTGCGAGATATAAAGTCAGAATTGCGAGATAGTCAAAATTGCGAGATATAAAGTCAGAATTGCGAGATATAAAGTCAGAATTGCGAGATAGTCAAAATTGCGAGATATAAAGTCAGAATTGCGAGATATAAAGTCAGAATTGCGAGATATATAGTCAGAATTGCGAGATATATAGTCAGAATTGCGAGATATAAAGTCAGAATTGCGAGATATAAAGTCAGAATTGCGAGATATAAAGTCAGAATTGCGAGATAGTCAAAATTACGAGATATAAAGTCAGAATTGCGAGATATAGTCAGAATTGCGAGATATAGTCAGAATTGCGAGATATAAAGTCAGAATTGCGAGATAGTCAAAATTACGAGATATAAAGTCAGAATTGCGAGATATAGTCAGAATTGCGAGATATAGTCAGAATTGCGAGATATAAAGTCAGAATTACGAGATATAAAGTCAGAATTGCGAGATATAAAGTCAGAATTGCAAGATATAATTGCGAGATATAAAGTCAGAATTGCGAGATATAAATTCAGAATTGCGAGATATAAAGTCGCAATTGCGAGATATAAAATTGCAATTGCGGGATATAAAGTCGAAATTGTGAGATATAAAGTTGCAATTGCGAGATATAAAGTTGCAATTGTGAGATATAGTCAGAATTGTGAGATATAAAGTCGAAATTGCATGTTGTAAAGTCAGAATTGTGAGATAGTCGAAATTGTGAGATATAAAGTTGCAATTGCAAAATAGTCAGAATTGCGAGATATAGTCACAATTGCGAGATATAAAGTCAGAATTACGAGATATAAAGTCAGAATTGCGAGATATAAAGTCAGAATAACGAGATATAAAGTCAGAATTGCGAGATATAAAGTCAGAATTGCAAGATATAATTGCGAGATATAAAGTCAGAATTGCGAGATATAAATTCAGAATTGCGAGATATAAAGTCGCAATTGCGAGATATAAAATTGCAATTGCGGGATATAAAGTCGAAATTGTGAGATATAAAGTTGCAATTGCGAGATATAAAGTTGCAATTGTGAGATATAGTCAGAATTGTGAGATATAAAGTCGAAATTGCATGTTGTAAAGTCAGAATTGTGAGATAGTCGAAATTGTGAGATATAAAGTTGCAATTGCAAAATAGTCAGAATTGTGAGATATAAAGTTGCAATTGCGGGATATAAAGTTGCAATTGCGAGATATAAAGTATGCAATTGTGAGATATAGTCAGAATTGTGAGATATAAAGTCAGAATTGAGATATAAACTATTCTGAGGGGAACAAAGTTAAGTCTTTTTTCCCCTTAGAATTGGCCTGATAACTCGTAATTGCAAGTTTATATCTCGCAATTCTGAGAAAAGATGTCAGAATTTCGACATATAAACTCGCAATTGTGAGAGAAAAAAAGTCAGAATTGTGAGATAAAAAGTTGCACTTCGGTCATTTTTTATCTCGCAATTCTCACTTCATATCTCGCAATTGTGAGATAAAAAGTGGCAATTATTTTTTTCTTTTTTATTCAGTGGTGGAAACAAGCTTCCATACAAAACAGACGCATGCCATGCACAGAATATAATGCAAAATACGGTATAAATACTAGTTTGGTAGCTAGCTATACTGAGCCACTGTTGTGTTAATGTGTATCAGTTTAACTTCTGTGGTTTTGCAAAACGATTAAAATGCCATTTGATTAGAACAGGTGGAAAAAGCCACATAACTAAAGTGTTTCAATTATTTAACCCTATGATTGAAAGGGCAAATTTTTCTAACTCCTTTTGCAAGCATACTGTTTTCAAACATTTCTGAAAAAGCAACTGAAAGTACAATATTACAGTCAGAATTTTTGTTATTTTTATTTTAGAAAATGTCCTTTGTAACATGTGGCATCTGAAGTCACATTTTGTTTAAAATACAGAACAGACAGACACTTGTAGAACAAACAGCCAAAGAAAGAAAGAAAAAAAAATGCATCAAAGTAAATAAAGCTAACAAGCTTTTCTGACTGGTTTGTTTTTTCTTTTTTTTTGACAAAATGGAATAGAAGGCGAAGGAGGGATGTAAGAGAGAAGAAAATATGAAAAGCTATTTTTAGATGAAACACAGGAGGAGGAGGAAGAAGAAGGGGCAGAGGGGGGATAAGACACTGTTAGTCAAAGAAACTATGGTTTGTTTGATGGTTGGTGTTTTAAATTATCTTTATAAAGTCTAATTTAGAATGAACTCTTTTCACTCTCATGTTTCTTAAAACATTTTTGCGTTTTTTTTTGTGTTTTTTGTTTCTTTTGTTGATCTTCCAGACCCTAGGCCCTTGGTGCATCCACCCTCGGACTACGACGCAGAGGGGGAGATGAGCGCTGGTTTGGACCAGCTGTTAGGCCCTTGATGCCCGTGGTGCCCTCCCCAGATGAGCCATACCCCCCACTCAGGAGGATAAAGACGAGTCCTTCTGTGTTTGCTGTGCTTGTGTACGCTGCATCGACTTCTGGCTTTCCACATCTCTAAAATGTTTCTCAACCTGAAAAGAAAGACACGCAAGTCATGACAAGCAATCCATCTGACGCAAGCCTGACGGGTCCCGAACAATTTGTGGGTTTTTTCGGGTTAGTTTCATGAATATCTTTAGGTTTGTAACTAAGAAACACAACATCACAGGGATGTCCCGATCAGGTTTGGCACAGTGAGTGGCAAAAAGACTGAGCGGCTGTATTAGTTCAGCGTGAATGCCGTGAAAAACAAACAACACATATAAAGTGGGAAAGAGCTTTGTATATGTCTCTTGGAAATGTCTCTTGTTCTGTTGTGGGATGGGATGTAATAATGACAAACAAAAGTAGTTTTCACTTATTTCATCATCAGAGCCACTGAAAACACAGTGGATGTATTGTATTTTGGAAGTTTTAGTTACGCCTTTCCTCGTAAATAAGTTTATCTTTGAGCGAATCATTTTTTTGACTGACTGTTTTGTGAACGAGGGTCAATTCAAAGTAGGTCTTGCGTCAAAGTTAATCCTCAAGTGTGGATCGTGGTCTACTGTTTGCGATCCAATGGCACCTCCAGTAACAGTAAGTGTATTTTATGATTTTTGTGCAAATAGTCATTTCCGTCGATGTCAGCCAATTCAACAACAAATGCGTCTAAAGTTGTCGTCGTCGTAGGATGTCTGTGTATATAATTTAAACATTGTATAGTGTGTAACCACACGTTTATAAATATATATACTTTAAAGATATTATATTAAAAACTGCATATATGTTCTTGTTCAGTAAGTTAGCCATCTTCTCACATTTGCCACAGAAGCACCCGTATGACAAGCTAAACATGACGCATCAGGTCTCTCGCTCTCGCATAAATGTAATTTCGCTTGTATGTACCAAACTTTATCACAGTATGTGTATGTAGTTTAAAAAAAAATTGCGCCAATGTTAGTGTTTGTGTGTGTGTGTTACACATCCATAATTGCATAGGGGACGCGATTACAACTCTACAAGTACATAAATGTATCAAATAACCATACAGAGACGTA